TGGCTTGGTTATTGGGCTCAAACCTACATAGTCACTGCTCTCACAGGTAAGGGAGGATTGCCTGGCTATTTATGTTTACTGTTTCAAAAATGCTGGGAAATTGGCTCAAGAATTGGTGGGGGCCACTTTATAAATTCTGCCTGCCGCAGAATCCAAGTAGAATTTTATAAGACCTACATAAAAAAAAAAAAAAAAAGCATAAACCTTCCTTGAAGGATATAAAAGAAAACCATACAAGATATCACCCCCCATTCTGTCAATTAAATTTTATTCATCAAATTTCCAACAGAATTGTTTATCAAATTGGCAAGCCGGTTCTAAACTTCCTTTAATAGAAAAAAATGCCTAAGAATTGGCAAAGATAATTTTGGGAAAAGAATCAACAAATTAAAATAAACCCATTATGGTCATAGAGGATTGGTCTAGGAATAATTCATGGAATTGAATGAGGATTCATTTAGTAGATGATAAAGTTGTTTCAAATCCAAAGAAATTATGGCCTTCCTGAGTGAAAGATGGTGCAGTTGTCTATCCATTTTGAGACAAATTTAGGCCTTTATCAGAAGCACAAAAATAACTTCCAGACAGAGTGAAGAGCTAAATATACTAATTAAGATTGTATTAGAAATACTTAATAGAATTTGCTCATTAAATTTGGGTTAAAGAATGCCTAACCTAAATGGTAGGAAATGCAATTAATTAGTAAGCACATATATGATAGAGCAATTACCCTCTCTCCCACATTGCTCAATCAAATTGGAAAAATTTTGTTCAATGCAAATGTTGGTAAGGGTGTGGGGAAACACACTCTCATTGAATGAATTGTAATGGTCTTTTTGGCAGTGCCTATTGTAATTTTAAGTATGCATATCCTTCAAATGAGTAATTTCCAGATTTTTACCCTAGCTGAAGGCATAGGCACATGAGCACAAAGACATGTTTATTAGATGTAGCATTGTTATTATGCCAACAACCTAAAGATTCATCATAGAAGTGCTTTTTTATTATAAATCTAATGGGTTTTAAAAAGGGACCTGTTAAGTTTATCCGTCATAAGTTAGAGGAAAACAAAATACCTATGGGATTTGAAATAAGAATCATTTTCTCCCAGTGTGTGCGTTTATTACCTATTTTTTTTTATACATTTAATCAAAACATTTCCCTTATGTTAGACATTCATTTCCTAAATCTGCAATATTGAGTACTCACCCTACGGGAGTGAGCATGCAACCTGAAGTCTCTGAGGGAAAATGCAACTGGACAAAGCCCTACTTCTTTAACATAATATGTGACTTCTTGGGGGCTTTTCTGTTGCCTTGTTTACTATCTTGTTATATCTGCCAGTGATTGGGCAAAAGAAAGGAAACATCCATATCTGTATGTGTACAATCAAAATGGATTATTGTCAAGATTAATGTGGTACATGGATAGTGCTTGCTGATTAAATGTTTATCTCTTATTTGTGAATAATTGGTATTTAATCTATTCAGCAATTGCCAGCCGGTGGCCCATGGACCACTGGTGGTCCCTGAGGTCTGAAAGGTTGGTGTCTGCTGTTAAATCAGATGATTAGAATCTTAATTTAAAGAATTTGCATATGTCATGGGAAAGGGAGAAGAGAGATTAGAGTTTTAGATAGGTGTCAGCGTTTACAAAGCAGCCAAAGGGAATGTTCCCTTTGTTTTTGCTTATATGCAAAATAGAGGTCCATTGCATGAAAATTCATGTACTGGAGGGAGAGGAGTCCCTCAGCCGGGTCTGCACCCTCTCACAGTCTGGGAGCCCTCAGGGGTGGGTGGCCACCTGGCAATCGGGGAAGGTGACATCCCATCATACCTCTGTTGCTGCCACTGCCGGCAGTGCAAGCCTTGGCCAGCCCTGGTTATCTGAGCCTCGTGTGGCCTTGGATGGCTGGACAGCCATCATCAAGGCTTGCTTGCACCTCAGGTTGGCACTGGGTAACTGGGGAGCTGAGGGAACTGGGGGACTCCAGAGGCAGGCACGTGGAGCAGCCGGGGGCTGAGAGGACTGGGCACTGCCATTTTTGAGGGCATGGAAATCAATTAGCATATTCCCTCCTTATTGGCTGTAGGTGCTGCCATCTTTTAGGGCAAGGAAGTCATTTAGCATATTCTTTATTGGCTGTGGGCACCGCCATATTTGATGGAGGCACAGTCAATTATCATATTCCTTATTGGCTGTGGGTGCCACCATCTTTGATGGTAGGGCAATAAATTAGCATAATCTCTCATTGGCTGTGAGTGCCGCCATCTTTGTGACAGCAAGAGGGTCAATTAGCATATTCCCTCTTTATTAGATAGAAGATAGCGTAAAATATTTTTACTAGGGCCTTTCAGAACATTAACTTGGATATTTTTAATCTAATGGGATTATTAGTTGAGGGTTGAAAATAAAAGCTTTGGCTATTGTTATTTAAATCTTACTAGTATATATCTTCTGTATTGGTTGTGAGAGTAACATTGTAGGTGAAAATTGCTTTTTAAAGTGAAAGATTGTGGGATTTTAACCAAAATAAGTGTTTTTTAATGAATTTGTTAGATGCTCTTTATATAAATGATTCATTATTAAAAGAATTTTGTTCTGAAGATAATTCACAATACATTTATATTAATTTAATACTTACTACAATTTTATGATTGTTTTCCAAGGCAATTCCTGTCACACACATTACTTACCCTCCCCCGCCCCTGTTTTTTTTCTTTGTAACTGAGGCAAAACTTATAGTGGGAACTGTAGGTTAATAAAATTGTTCCTGTTGTGAGTGAAGCTAATAAAAGATGAGGACTAACTGTATCCCACTGAGAATAACAAAACACCTTGTTAAATATAAAAATAAATCTGTGAATTATTTTTGCAGAAGTCAACGAGAGGTTCCGTTGTCCTTGACCATGTATTCCGTCACATAAACCTCGTGGAGATTGATTATTTTGGGCTGCGTTACTGTGACAGAAGCCACCAGACAGTGAGTACAATGACTTCGTATTAAATGTTTCTGGTTTTAACTTTCCCTCTATCTTTGGCCTTTCCTGTGTGGTTTTAGGTAGTTAGGGTCCTTGTAAATGAAAATGACTTTGAAATCCTTAACCATGTTTTCCTTGCTAATTTCTCTGCATTTCCCCCAAAAAGTCTGTAGAGTTGCAGGATTCACAACTCATATGATAGCCTTCCTCCTCACAGATGCTTACCTGTTTTCCACTTTTGCAACCATATCAAGAGTACTTTTCATTTGTGCTGTTAAGGAGGCAACTGGCTGGTCTATTGAAGTGACATATTATTGCCTTTTAAGAAAGCGAATGGTTAAAGAGAAGAAATATATACAGTGTGAAAAGGTGACTAAGTTTCAGGAGTTGGACGAGAAATTGTAAAATAAGTAAGGGTATGCATTCATGAGCTTGATGGATTATGAGTAATAAAAGGAACCAAGCTTTTGGTGTCTAATGCCAGTTGTTCACAAGGGTTTAACTCAGAATGTCTTCTGGCTGTTGGATGATGGTCATGTCACCAGAAAGGGGACCTGGTCCCGAGTGGGTCTGCCCAGGGCCGGCCGGCAGTGTGTGGGTTCTGGACTTCGTGCAGGAGAAATTCCACAGCATGAATCCAGCTGAATTTTAGAAGATTATTAAAGCTGGGGACAGGGACCCAAGGAAGGGCTGGGGAAATGACCCTAGGCTGGGCTGCTTTGGCTCAGTAAGAAGTCAGAGAAAAGGGGGCTGTGGGGGCACTTTCAGGAGGTTTGCCTGAGGTGAACTGCCGCTGCCTGCTGCTGCCCTGGTGGTAAGCCTGTGAGGTCCTTAAGCATTTAGGAAATGGTGTGCTTCTGGGAGAAAGAGGTTTGCTTGGAGAGGTTTTAAAGGCTGGGTATTTAGGGGTAGTTTTAGAGGAGGATCTCAATAGAATATTCACCGGCTTTAAGCTGATGTACCAAAATGAGGTTTATTGTCTTAACTTCTTCTTGGGTGTGGTTGGCAAATGATGATAACTGGATTTCTGCTGTCTCCCTGAGTAGGGTGATTTAAACTATTTACCCTCTAGTTGGAGAGAAGTGCAAACCATTTATTCTCAAGCATCCCTGGTTTAGGAAAGATAGGATTTACTAGGTGGCTCCAAACTGCTGTTTCTTTCTTTAAAAAAACAAAACAAAATTTAAAACACCACATACATATTTAAAACACACACACACACACACACACACACACACACACACACACATATTTCAGAGAGGAAGGGAGAGGAAGAGAGAGATAAAAACATTAATGATGAGAGAGAATCATTGATCGGCTGCCTCCTGCATGCCCCCTACAGGGACTAAGCCCACAGCCCAGGCATGTGCCCTGATGGAATCGAATCGTGACCTCCTGGTTCATGGGTCAGCGCTCAACTCAACCACTGTTTAACTATCTGCCTCACTTTCTCTTTTCTTTGTTCTTGCTTACTGGCCTGTCTCAGAGAGTTACAGAAACTCATCACATTGGTTAGTATTGGTTCTATATGTTTATAAGGCTCAGACACTGTTAAACGAGGAAAGACTTTGGCAGTCATGATTTAGAGATACAAAAGGATATTTATTAGTGACTTTTGTTTTAGTCTAAGAAAGATATTACCCTCAGATAGAAACAGTTCTATGCAAAATGCTTATGCTCACCTTAAAAATACCCCATTTGACTTACCTTTTGTTTTTCATGCTGCTTTCCTCCTGTTCGAATGAAGTTTTCCTCTTTTTCATTCAGTTCTTGCAGCCTCCATTTGGTCATCTGGGGTCTATTCAGTGAGGAACACGCTTGCTGGGTGGTGTTTCCCTCCCAGGTCCCAGGAATGTGCTAGGGTGAGAGGAGGCAGGCAAATGGAATGTTATTGATGGTGATAAGTTGTGATTATTATTATTTTTTTTTTTGAGCTGGTTCCATAATTTGTTCTGTTTCATAGGGGTGTTTCACAAAATAGGAATAAAAAATTGGGTGTGTTGGTTAGCTTTCCACCGAAAGGAATAAATTTCTAAATGCAAGCAGTCATGAATGCACACTTCAAAGAAAGGGAATAGCATATTCAGAGTTCACTGAATTCTGTCACATACAGGCCGTATGTCCACATAGCAGAACTGTAAATCTATACTGAAAGATTAGATTGAAGGCTGAAGAAGATATCTTGCATGACATTCATATTTTTAAAATAACATTTTTCCTAGCAGAAAAATAAAATACAGTTTTCTGATCTTATCTCGTATGTCAGACCTTGCCTGGAAAGACTGTCTTGATAAAATTATATAGACCTTATCTGCCTCTTCTCCCCTCGACCTCCCCTTTCCAAAGGTGAAAAAATGTGAAAAGCTAGAGAATTTCAAACAATGGCCTGTGTCTACAAAATGAATGAGCAGTTAGTATTGATAGTTTAGTTAAAGTTTTCCAGGGCTTTTATTAAGATAAAAAAAGTGTGGGTTTTTTTTCTTCTTATTTTTACTCCTGAAGTTTGTCATTTGTGATAATATTTGTGTTACATGTTTTAGGAGAAAATAAATTACACAATTAGAGAGGGAACGTTTGTAAGTAATTTTTTTGACCAGGAGTGTAAATCACATGAAAAAAATGATTTTTTACCTCTTGAAATTTTTTTCTGGTGAACTCAGATGAAACAGAGGTGATTTATAAACATGTATTGTCTTTGCACGTTCACTGTCTGGTTGTCTGATGTTCCTTTTAGTTGTGGGAAGGCATGAAAATAAGAGCACCCAGTTCTGGAGGGCTGAGTTCGTGCAGGTGGGAACATACGAATCCATTCCCAACTCACTTCTCACGGGGACTGAGTCAGACTTAACGATTTCTCTGAGGAAAAAAGCTCAGGCAAGCTTTCTGCTTATCTCTAGCTTTGCTGCGATTGGAGCCTGTGGGCTGCAGGGGAGGGACTGAGAGGTGCTCCATGATTCATGGTGACGGGTCCTTTGGTCATTATGGCATTGTGGCCACTGGCCTTTTATAATATAGATAACTGGGAAGTTCATGTAGCAGATACATTGATTTAGGTGTTACCTGTGTGTAAAGAGAAATAGCTAGACAGACATAAACCTTGTTAAGGCAAACTTTTCCCTAAGGAGTACAGCCGACTTGATTTAAAACATCCTGGGCACCATGTCTTAACTTTACTTCTCAGGTAGGGTCTGTAAGAGGATTTCAAGAAAATAAAAGGAGTTCTTCCCGAAGACACATTTATTGAGACCGAATCAACACTGAGCTGCATGTGTTAACCCGAGCTTTCTTTTATAAAGCAATCTCTTCAAGATGCACCATGAAGTTCACATACTTGCAGTTCCTTTTCCTATAGACAAACGTGAAAGCATTTAGCCTGGGCATTGAGCCTACTTTCTGTTCTGTGCTGGCCTCTGTCATCAGGTTCTTTATTTATCCAGCTGGTCGGAGTGGGGGATGCGGCTCTGTTATATCAGGGCTTTGGTTTGACATAGAGAAAATTTCCAGCCTCGATTTAAGGTGGATGTGAGGCAGTCTGTCATGGGGATTTTAAGAACACACATAAGGAGTCAGAGAGATCCAGATTTTCCTAATGGTCCTGCCACTTAGTTGTCATGTTTAAAATTCTCGTAAAGTGCTGGCCATTAATCAGAGCAGTAGGACTTCCAGAGTAGCTTGTTCTCTCCAGTTCATTCTAGGACTGGCTGTCACTGGCTAACACCAGCTTAATTGCTAGCTCAGCAGAAACTCCGTTTTGTTCTCACCATGTATGAGCCCAACAGCTCAGTTTGCTGTACGTTTAAAATTTTATTTATTTATTTACTGATGAAAGAGAGAGAGAGAAACATCAATTTATTGTTCCACTTATTTATGCATTCATCGGTTGCTTCTTGTATGTACCTTGACCAGATTGAACCAGCAACCTTGGTGTATCGGGATGAGGCTCTAACCTAGGGGTGTCGAACTCAATCAGAGAAGGGGCCAAAATCTAAAATCCAGCCTAAATCGCGGGCCGAATGGTTTACTGAACAGTCATAAACTGTCATTGTGATGGAAACGCAGCGGAGTGCAGTGATGACAGCGCGGTGCGGGCCACATTGCAAGGCCTGGCGGGACGGATTTGGCCCTCGGGCCTTGTGTTTGACACATGTGCTCTAACCAATGGAGCTACCAGGCCAGGAATACTTGGAATATCTTTACTTTAAATGGGTACCAGCTCTCTCTATGCTTTGTGTCCTAATTCCTAGCACCTGTGTACATGTCACTTTAAAGGGGCTTTGCATGTGTTGTTAAGTTAGGAATTTTCTGAGATCAGTATAATTCCAAATGTTCTTACACATGAAAGAGGGAGGCAGGAGAGTCAGAGAGGAGGAGATGGGGGAACAAAAGCAGAGGTCAGAGTCATGCATATGCTGGAAGGGGCCTTGGTCCAGGGAATGCAGGTGGTTTCAGGAAGCTGGAAAAGGCGAGGAAATGGATTTTCCCAGGAACAACGCCCTGTCTACACTTTGATGGTAGCCCAGTGTTCTTAGTTTGGGCTGCTATAGCAACTTGCCATAGACTGGGTGACATAAACAAGAAACACTCCTTTCTCTGGGATTAAGTCTGGAGGCTGGAAGTCTGAGTTTGGGGCCAGCATGGTTGGGTTCTGGTGTGAGTCCTCTTCCAGGCTGCAGACAACTGACTTATTGTAACTTGACATGGTAAAAGGAGAGCTAATTAGCTCTCTGGCCTTTTCTTATGGGCTCTATTCTCCTGACCTCATTACCTCCTAAAGGACCAACTTCCAAATACCATCACATCCGGATTAGGGTTTCAACGTAGGAATTTTATGCGGGACACAGTGTGTTGCACCAAGTGAGACCATTCTGGACTTCTATCCTTTGGAATTGTAAGATAATAAATTTCTTACAGCAGCAAAAAGAAACTAATTGGCATGGCTACAGTGGAAAGCATTTCCATTGTGTGCTCAGCGAACATATGAAGGCTTTCTTGTTGGGTTCACCACGTCACCCTGGATAATGAGGGCATATATCCTTCTGCAGATTCTCAGCATTTCTGTGATTAGGCCTGTGTGTACATCTCCAGGTGTCTGTGAGCAATATTAATTGCTGCTTCAAAATTATTTAGCTTCCTCATTATGAGAGAGAGAGAGAGAGAGAGAGAGAGAGAGAGAGAGAGAGAGAGAGAGAGAGAGAATATCTGTTTATGATAGGTGGAGAATTGAAATTACTTCTTTACTTTTAAGAACTGGGTGAATTTGAGATGCTTTGAGGCTGCAATGCACGTGAGCCGCCTTTTTGGGTGTTTGGAAGTTTATTATAAGTAGAGTGTGATGTGGTGGAACAAATAACTGCCTTCAAAGTCACAAGCTCGGTCTGAGTCCTGTACCTCTTCCTAATGAACGGTCAAGTCACTTTAATTTTTCTGAATCTTGAGAATAATAGTGCCTTCCTTCTCCCAGATCTCAGGATTGTTGTAGGTCCAAAATAGAGAAGTTGTAAAAGTTTTTTTTTTGTAGATTATAAGGTGTTAAAAACATTGTAGAAGGCTTTTCCTATTGAAACTAGGATGGAAGAAGATATTGCTGGTGATACTTTCTTTTTTAAGGTGGAGTAGAGGAAAGGAAACAGTCTGCAGGAAAGAAGAGAGAAAATCAAACTCTAGACTCTTTAACACCTTTGGAGATCTTAGAAGATGAGTTTTGTTGATATTGAAAGCAGTAATAGGGATGAATGTGATATCCTATACTCCTTCAGTTTTTAGAATGAAGAGTTATCATATAATCATGTCTTGTTTTAGTGTTAACGATTGAGGCTCCTTTACAGTTTACTCCTTCAGAGGCAGGAGTTCTATTATACATAATTGTGGCTTTTCTCAGAACACAGAATGGAATGCAACCTGGCTCTCAGAATCAGGCTGCTGCACCTCCTGCCCTGAGACTTCAGCAGTCAACAGGGAGGGACACATGTAGATACCAATCAGTCCAGCGAGCACGCATGTAGCCCTTCCTCAAATGAACTATTCTTATTTTTGTCCAGTCTTTTCCGGCATCCCCCCACCCCTTTCTCCGAGGATTGTCACCAAGACTGTGGGGGGGAAAATGCAGCCACTTTCAAAGGAGTTAGTTGGGTTGGACTACCATCCCAGAGGAAGTACCTTGCATGTCTTACTCTTCAAACTGCAGAAATGTTAAAACTGGGCAAAATAACCTTTGGGCCTAACGCAGCATTATACCTCAAACACCTGTTCATAAAAACAACAAGAAAGCAGATATTATGACTAATGGGCTGAAAATTAAAAACATTCTTTAGAGTTCATGTAACTATGTTAGCTTAGCCTTACTTAGAGAAAAATGCCTTCCTTCATTGATGTAATTGTAGTTGTTTCCCTTCACTTTCTCATAAGTAACCCTTGTCTTTGCCTCCCAATCAGAACACTATTTGGGTTTCTGCCTGACTCAGTCCTTTCAGAATAGCAATATATTTTTAAAATGTTTTTATTAATTTTAGAGAGAGGGTAAGGGACAGGGAGAGATAGAGAGGGTAGCATCGATGGACTGCCTCCTGCCCACAACCTAGATGGAGCCCACAACCTGGGCATGTGTCCTGACCGGCAATCTAACCCATGACCTCTTGGTGTATGGGATGATGCTCAGCCAAGTCACACTGGCTGGGCTCACCTCTTATTTCTGTATCTCTAACCCTGTCTCTCTATTTCCTCTCATCCATCAGGAATGTCTAAAACTCTCCCATTTAAAACCACTTTCCCTGACTCCCATGCCCTCCTCTGTCTATGGCCCTATTGACTCTGGTCACAAGAGAAAGCCTCCTTTAAATTCATTGCTTCCACTTCTCAAACCCCATTCATTCCCGAACTTCTCACAGTTCAACTTTGATGCCTATCATGCCACTGAAACTGCCCTCAGGCCTCTAGTTGCTAAATCCTAGTGATACTTTTAGCTCTTACCTTTCCTGTTCCATTGACCCTAATAACTCAATCTTTGAAATCTTCTCATTCTGCTCTAATGACAATACATTCTCCTTATTTGCCTCTTTTCAAGTTTTCTTCTGGTTATTCTGATTCAGTCTTCCTTATAATCACTTCTTCTCTGCCTGTTTCTTTTCTTTTTATTTTTTATTTTTTATGACCCCTTAATAAATCTTTATTGTTCAGATTATTACAATTGTTGCTTCCCCCCCCCCCCCCCAATAGCTTCCCTCCACCTGGTTCCCATGCCACCCCATACCCTTATCCACTCCCCACCCCCCTATTGTCCTCATTTATAGCTATATGATTTTTGTCCAGTCTCTTCTGGCAAACAACCCCCCCCCTCCCCAGAGGATTGTCAGTCCACTCCCTCTCTATGCTCCTGATTCTATTATATTCACCAGTTTATTCTGTACATCAGATTTTTTATTCACTCGATTTTTAGATTCACTTGTTGATAAATATGTATTTGTTGTTCATAACTTTTATCTTTACCTTTTTCTTCTTCCTCTTCTTAAAAAATACCTTTCAGCATTTCATATAATACTGGTTTGGTGGTGATGAACTCCTTTAGCTTTTTCTTATCTGTGAAGCTCTTTATCTGACCTTCAATTCTGAATGAAAGCTTTGCTGTGTAGAGTAATCTTGGTTGTAGGTTCTTGCTGCTCATCACTTTGAATATTTCTTGCTACTCTGGCCTGCATAGTTTCTGTTGAGAAATCAGCTGACAATTGTATGGGTGTTCCCTTGTAGGTAATTAGCTGTTTTGCTCTTGCTGCTTTTAATATTCTCTCTTTGTGTTTTGCTCTTGGCATTTTAATTATGATGTGTCTTGGTGTGGTCCTCTTTGGATTCCTTTTGTTTGGGGTTCTGTGTGCTTCTTGGACTTGTCAGTTTATTTCTTTCCCCAGGTAGGGGAAGTTTTCTGTCATTATTTCTTCAAATAGGTTTTCAGTATCTTACTCTCTCTCTTCTTCTGGTTCCCCCATAATTCTAATGTTGGTATGCTTGAAGTTGTCCCAGAGACCTTTTACACTATCTTCATATTTTTTTATTCTTTTTTTTTTTTTCCTGGTTGGGTGATTTTTGCTTCTTTGTATTTCAAATCTTTTACTTAATTCTTATGATCCTCTAGTCTGCTTTTGGATCTCTGTATATTATTCTTTATTTCAGTCAGTGTATGCTTAATTTCTAGTTGGACCTTTTTCATATCCTCAAGGGTCTCACTAAATTTATCGGCCTTTTCTAGAAAATTCTTGAAAAACCTTATAACTGTGGCTTTGAACTCTATATCCAGTAGTTTGCTTTCCTCCATTTCTTTCATATGTGACCTGTTTCTTTGTCTCCGCATTTTGGCTGCTTCCCTGGGTTGATAGAGTGGCTTTGTGTGCCAGGTGTCCTCTAGGGCCCAGTGGCTCAGCCTCCCCAGTTACCTGAGGTGGACACTCTTGCTATACCCCTTTGTGGGCTGTGTTCACAGTCTTGTTGTAGTTAAGCCTTGATTGTTGTTGTTATCACTGGGAGGAATTGACCTCCAGGCCAAATGGCTGTGAGGATCAGCTGTGTCTATGATGGGAGCACTTCTGTGCTTGGGACACCCTCATGAGGCAAGACTTGCTTCAATGGGGCTTTGGTGCTCACTGAGTCTGTTCCCTGAGTGTGTCTCTTATGGATCTGAGGAGTTGTAATCTGGCCCTACTGTGATCCCTGGGTACACTGGCTCTTGGATCTCCAAGGAGGTGCTAATTTAGCTTCTGCCTGAGGCCACCCAGCAGGAGCTATGGAGAGATCTGCAGATTCCTCTTCTTTGTTTGGGTTTTGGAGATGCCCAGATAAGGCACAGCTGTGAAGCAATGTAAGCTGTTATGGGGCCTTGGGCTTTCTTTTGGATGTTCTGGGTCTCTTCGACTCAGCTGCAGTTTGTTGGGTTAAGTTTAGATTTCAGAAGACCAGGCTGTGCAGGAAGAGACTGGATTAAAATTGCACACCTATGGATGAGGACAATGGGGGTGGGAGGAGGTAAGTGCAGAGGGTGGGGTGGGAACTGGGTGGAAGGGAGCTAGGGGAGAGGAAAAGAAGAAACAATTGTAATAATCTGAGCAATAAAGTTTTATTAAATTTGAAATACATAAAAAATAAAGAAGAAGAAGAAGAAGAAGAAGAAGAAGAAGAAGAAGAAGAAGAAGAAGAAGAAGAAGAAGAAGATCAGGCCATTCATATGCAAAATCCTCTGCACACAGCTTGGATGAGGTCTCAGGGCGGATAAAACATCAATGGCTTCCCATCAGTCCTGCCCTAAGAGGCCCCCAGTCTCAATGTCCCTTGGTAATCACTGCAAGCACCTCTGAGAGAAAGCTGCCCTCAAGTTCCGCCTGATGCCAGAGAGTCCAGTTTCTCCCCGCATGAGTCTGGGTCCTCAGAGTCTCGCCCGGAATTGGAGTTCAGAGCAGTCAGGAACTCTCCCCACGGATTGAAAAAGCCAGCTGTCTACTCAGTTGCCAGTCCTCTCCGCATGGAAGCGCCTCCGTACATCTGCCTTCCACACCTCCTCTCAGTGTGCTTTTCTCTTTCCTTCTAGTTGTAGAATTTCCACTCAGCCAGTCTTTCTGTGGTTCTGGATGATGTCCGTTCTGTCTTTTAGTTGTAGTTTTGAAGATGTTGTGTGAGGCAGCAAGTTCCAGTGTTTACCTATTCTGCCATCTTGGTTTCTCCTCCAGAGGTGACCTCCTCTGCCTGTTTCATAAAATATTGATATTCACTAGGATTTTATTCTTGATTCTCTTATGCTCCAATTGGGTACAGGCTTGCACATTTAATACTATCTCACCTGGCACTATTTGTCTCTGAAATAATTTCCTTTAAAAATATAAGCTGAACTGTATATATATATTTGTATCTTCCCCTCTGCTCCAAATGCTCTTGAGCAAAAGTGAGCCTCATCCCTGGAGCACTACCAGGCTGGCTTTGTCATGAGTAATGGTGTTCTTTGCATCTTGATTCATTATATTTTGCGACGTGAGATTTTACTTTCTGGAATTTCGTATTTTGGCAAACACCCATAGTAGCTGATGAGATCTGTGTGAATCATAACGTGAGTTCTCTTGCAAGGAAAGAAAGGAAGTTTGTCATGCTGGGTTGTTGTAATTTGAATTTTTTTTTTTTTTTCTGAGATGTCTTTGGTAGGGGAACAGAGGGCAAAGATCAAGAAGCAGAAAGGATTTCTTCAGCAGCCCTTGGACTTTATGAAGAGCATCATAAACAGTGCAGCAGCCTGGGAGGACTGTCAGGCAAAGGGAACCTTTGAAAATCTTTTGACATCCCAAGAGGATTATACTTTGTAAGAATACAGACTCTGGGTGTAGACATCTGGATTCACATATTCTGTAGTACATGGGATAGCTGTGTGGCAATGGAAGAGTCTTCTAACTTCTCTGCGCCTCAGTTTCCCCATTTATAAGTTGGGATAGTAGAAGTACCAACTCAAGAGTGGTAGCTGAGGGTTAAATAAGTCTATGTAAAACATGCAGACTAGTGCTTTTAATTGTGTGTTCATTCTTATTCTGTATTTGGATGTCCCTCAGGTACTCAAACACAATGTATTCAAACAGAAATCATCATCTTCCCCTCCAGACCTGCTCGTTTTCTTATGTTCTTGAGAGCAGTAATTTTCCAGAATTTAAATAAAAACTATTGAACAACAATTTTAATCCTATATTTTTAATAGATATAAGCACTGGGTAACCTAATTTACTTAAATAGGCAAATAGGAAAGGAAGGAGTATGATAAAGGAAGAACATGCAATTTCTTCAACTCCTTCTGAGTTATATACCAAAAATTCACTTTGATTTGTCATCTAAAAGGATTTTTTAATAATCTATTAGGTAACTCAAATGAAATGTAGCTCTCATCTTCCCCTCTAAATCTTTATTTTATTTTACTGAGGTGTAATTGACAGTCTAGTACAACATTTTTGTTATTTTCAGATGTACACCATAATGATTTCATATTTGTATACACTGTAAAAAGATCACCACATCAATTTAGTTAGCATCCATCATCACATATATGTTTTTTGGTACTGAGAACTTTTTTTTTTTTTTTTGAAGTGTTTTTTTTATTTTATTTTATGTACAAAGAGATAGCATTGTCGTTAAGGTAGAGAGATGTCTTCAATGACCCATTCACAGAAGTTCCCTTAGTCCAACTTAATGAAGCCGATGTCCTTCGCGTCCTGGCGGAAACACTGGCGGCACATGTTGAGGCCGTACTTCCGGAGCAGGCCGTGGCGGTTGGAGCAGAGGCGGCAAGAGCGAGAGCCCTGGCCCAATTTCCTCGGGTGGCTCCAGTAGAGTTGCTGGTGACCCATCTTGCTCACTCGGTAGCAACGAGGCAAAAGGGGTAATGAGAACTTTTAAGGTATACTCTCTTAGCTACTTTTATTTTTTTAAATATATTTTATTGATTTTTTACAGAGAGGAAGAGAGGGGGATAGAGAGTTAGAAACATCAATGAGAGAGAATTATCTATCGGCTGCCTCTTGCACGCCCCCTACTGGGGGATGTGCCCGCAACCAAGGTACATGTCCTTGACCAGAATCGAACCGGGACCCTTCAGTCCTTAGACCGACGCTCTACCTCTGAGCCAAACCGGTTTCGGTTTTTAGCTACTTTTAAATATGTGCTACAACCTTGTTAGCTATAGTCACCAGGCTATACATTACAAACCCATGACTTATTTATTTTATAACTGGAAGCTTTTACCTTCTGATCCCTCCCTTCACCTCTTTCCTTATTATGCTCCTGACAGAAGCGATTTCTCAGCCCACTTGAGTCCCTCCTTCAATTTACTTACTTGAAAGCAATGAACTCAAAACTTGCCTGACTTGCAAATGATTTGTTAATCATGATGGCAATTCAGTTTCACAATTTCTGGGGAATATGTTTAAAAATGCTTTACCAAGATTGATCAAAAGAGAATTATGCTTTTTTTCCTCTTCCACTTAAGGGCATGTGATTTAATCCAATTTAGTTGGAAAGGATTAGGAAAATTAAAAATTGTTAACTGGAATGTACATTTGCCAATACAAGATGTTTGATAAAGTGCTTTTATCTAATTATGTACTTTATATTCATCAGATTTTGGAGCTGCAGAATTAGTTCATTCACTTTATGGAATGTGTCCAACATATAATTCTTTGGCAAAATCAGTCATTAAACTAGTCAGCCAAACCAGCTTGCTTTTCTGTCATTTGTCAATTTAAATAAAAATGTCAACATGTGTTCAGCAAAAAAGTATTTCACTTTGGAATTATATTTCTGAGATGGTTAGTCAGAGAAGGCACAGTGCTTTGTTTTGTCACTCAGATGAGAGAGGCTTTGATTTGTTTTATTCTTATGGGATTCTTCCTCCTGAGCTGCGTATATTTTGATTGTAGCGGGAAGATGGAAGTTACAAGATCATGACATGAAAATCATCACTCCCTCCGCTGCCTACTGTGTAATACATCTGAATTCAAAACAACCCAACTATGGGCCAAAACACCATGTTGCTATCTATCCCCTGATCAGAAATACGTTTAAGTAGGAAAAGACATGATTTATGGTGTCTTTATCAAAGGCAACTTTGCTAACATTGGTATTTTAAAAGGTTCCTATGTTTCTGCTCCCTGGAATGTGCCATAGAGAGATTAAAATGGGCGAGGTGTGCTTTTCTCTTTTAAATTGGGAAAGGTGGATTGTGGACAGGGACTGCAGTGGAAAGGAGAACTGGCATCTTAACTCAGTGCTATTCTCAGGTCAGTTTTAGGGAAGACTATGCATGGAAGCTGAGGCTCTGAGAAGTAAGTCCCTGAAGACTATTTGTAGCCTGCATACCCTTCATGAACTTCCTGAAGGGTACCCCTTACTTCTCAGAGCCTCAGCTTGAAGGACCTTGGAGTCCATATGAAGGACCTCTATGAAGGACCTTGGAGTCCATATGAAGGACTATATCACTGAGGGGCATGCACATTGGTTTGAATACCTAAGAGAATGCCGCCGTCATCCCACTTGCTCAGACTAGGGTGTCATTTCTAACGCAGCCATCTCTTCCCCCTCAGAGCTAGCCAGTCACCGAGTCCCGTCAGTACTACTTCTTAATAACTGGAGTGACTACATAATTCACCACCCAACCCAGGATACTTTTGAGGGTGAAAGGGCCACTGTATGTAACCGAGCTGGACAGCAGTTGTAAACAGGACCGTGGTCACTCACTAACCTCTCTAGACTCAGTCTCCATCTCTGACTTCTCGTTTTGGTGCCAGCACATGAACGTGGCTTTCTGAAATAGCTTTCTGATTGGTCTTTGCTCTTGTTCCCCCTGATGTTTTCCCCACCGCAGTTGTAGTTTTCTTTCAGAAAGGCAATTTCTATGATGACTGCTTTGTGGCTTAAAAATCTTTAATGGATCCCTAAGGGAAAATCCAAATTCCTTAAAGTAGACTCCAGGTCCTTCAGGATGTGTGGCCTTGGTTGCTTCTGCTTTTGCAATGGAACTCTTCTCAGCCCTCAACTATGCTCCTCCCAAACCCACTCTCCAGGCACATGATGGCTATCCCTAACTACCCGACTCCTTATGTGCAGTGCCTCAGAGGGACATATGTGCTCCTCCTACCTGGACACCCTTCTTGTTATCTTTCCTTCTTTTTTAACTGGTTAAATCCTGTTCTCACCACTCAGTTGAGATGTCTGTCTCCTTCCTGAAGTTTTCCCGCAGCCCCCAGAAAGGCCCTAGGCTTTCTCCCATCACATATTGCAAATACTACATTGTATTTGCCTGTTAAGTAATATCCCCCACTTGATTGGAATTGCTTGAGGGGAGGGATTGTGTCTGGTTCTTCACTCTATTACCACCTTCTGTGACCTCCCACTAAGGAAGGGACTCATAGTACTAGTGAAGGAAAGAACTCTACCTAGGCAGTGTGGGCCAGGCCAGGTGGAGGTGAGACTGGAGACTGGGACAAGAGCACCTCCTCACTTTTCCTTTCCATGTCTGTCTGCTGTGTCCTTGCCCTGGTGGTCTTTTAGTTTACCGTATTTTCCGGCGTATAAGATGACACTGTGTTCTAGTAAAAAGCCTGCTCAAATTGGTGGTCAGAAAGGCGGTCTATTAAAAAAAGAACTGGTGTTGCCTCGGAAGTGGGGGGTAGTCTTATACAGCGAATATAGGCCTAAATCTATGTTTTAACTGTAAAATTAGGGAGTCGTCTTATATGCCGGGAAAGGCCTAAACCTATGTTTTAACTGTAAAATTAGGGAGTCGTCTTATATGCCGGGAAATACGGTACTGCCTTATTTCTCTTATGAAAGGCCTTTTCAGTTCATCTAAACCAGATTTGACATTTATTTATTTTTCTTTATTTTTATTTTTACTTGTTTTGGGATTTGACCTATATTTAAAAAAGAAAAAAGCTTTACTGAGATATTAGAAAGTTAGGATACAAATGTGTGGGATTGTAAGGGATTATAGAAAGAAATATGATATTCTTTTTTTATATACAGGCAGTCCTCAGGTTACGTCGGACTTGACTTAATGTTGTTTTGTGGTTACGTCGCCATCTCCCATTTATTTATTTTAAAAAAAGTTCCATCATTTCAACGTATGCACATATGTGCTTTATGTTTTTTACTATTTATTTACCACAAGTATAGGTCAGGAATTGTTATCTTTCAGAGGGATTTAAGGAAGATTACATGAAGGAGGAAGAAAGCAAGATATAGGAAAGTCAAGATTATGTGCTAGGTATGCTAGGCATTCTTCCTGTCAATAATTTCTGTGACCCACACCTTAGCTGTGTAAGTGTATGACAGGAATATTGCTTAATGTTAATGTTCCCTTAACTATGAACATTTTATGAGACTGTCCTCCCTGATTAAATCAGAATGAGATATGAAGAATGGCATTTCAGACAATGGATGGAATGGCTAAGACACCAGTGGTTTTTGAAATATAGTGGCAACCATACTTTGGTAAAAAACTGCTGTTTGAATTTTAACCCTGCTAAGTCTGGCCCCTGCATCTGATTAAAACACTGGGTACTTACCTCAGCTTCCAGGTGGAGACCTGGAGGCTAAGGCAGTTTTCCCTTGGCTAGGGGCCAGGCCCACAGGAGATTGATTCCCGCTGACTCAGTAGCTTCAGGGATAGAAACTGTAGATAACCTTTAGAGTCTAACCGCTGAGCTCTGCTTCTGTGTTATCGGCTATCACAAGATAGGGCCACATTCCAATGTCCAGCAGGATGTGACTGGGAACCGACCCTGCGGGCTGTCCCCAGTCTTTAGAATTTAGTCTTTAGGATTTAGGAACAAAAGGAAAATTCTTGCAGTTTAAACCTTTAAAAGGAATTGCCTACCCCTGAAACGGTGCAGTCCTGTGGAGACCATCTGCGTGTGGTGCTCTCGCGGCTGTCCTGGCCAGTTCAATAAATCCTTGCCTGCTTTTTTTAATTAATTAATCAGCCTCTGGTGGTCTTATTTTGAACCCAGGGTTTGACCTCCACAACAGTTTTTAGGGTTAATGATTCTGGACATTGTCTTATCATAGGAAACTAGTCTTTTTTATTTTAATCTAGAAGTTTGGTACAAATCTCTGAGTTGACCTTTATTTAACATTGTAATGAATCTTAAGAGGATTTTTCTCCATGAATATAAAAAGAGTTTGATTGGGTTGTGCCAGTAGTCTTGAATTTTATAAAATTTTAAATATGTTGCAAGCACTAAAAGCTAAGGTGACTAGTTTATCTATCTTTTCTATGACCTGTCCCAGTAAGAGAGGGGCTCCAGGAATTGTTCAAAGTTGGGCAGGTGCTTTTAAGGGTAATGTGGAGGGGTGGACGGTGGGAGTTACTTTACCTTTTGAACTGTGAACTTTGAGTTAACAAAAGTAGGCCCTTTGATGACATATGTGTTACGAAGCGAGTCCCCAAGAGATGGACCACCGGAGCCAATTTGATTAAGCATGCTAGAATTTATTACAGATTCGAATCTGGACTCAAACCATGGCTGACGCAGCAGCCGGTAAACACCCAGGTAAGAGCCCCGATGGAGGGGCAGTCCTCACACAAAAACACAGACAAACACACACCTACCGAGGCCAGTCAGGCTCTTCGAAATGGGGGTCCCTCATGGTCCTGGCTGGGGATTCCAGTCATGATCCCCAAGGACCACCAGGGAGCCGAGTCCGATGCAATAAACAAAAGAGCCATCTCCATGCTAGCATGGGCTATCCCACTCATGCCGGCAGCATGGCGGAAGAGAGCGAATTTCGCCCAGTCCAGGGGTTTTACTCAGGTCGGTGATGTCACTGCCTCGGCTAACCCTGATTGGCCCCTCAGGACTAAATTCTAAAGACTGGGGACAGCCTGCGGTTAGTTCCCAGTCACACCCTGCTTGGAATGTGGCCCTATCTTGCCCATAATACAAAAGCAGAACTAAAGGTTATCTACAGTTTCTACCCCTGAAGCTACTGAGTCAGTGGGAGTCAATCTCCTGCAACTACCCTATTGTTCAAGCAAGTAATCGAAGGTCGAAGTCAGATAGCAAGGTTAAAATTCAAACAGCAGTTTTTACCCAAGTATGAGTGCTACCATATTTCAATATGGAAGCTCAATTTTTCTTGCTACGTAACATATTTATCAGTGTTTTAGACAGAAGGAGGTTTTATCAAGGATGTTTACTGGGGGCATCTCATTATTATTATTTTTTTAAATAAATCTTTATTGCTGAGATTATTACAATTGTTTCTCCCTTTTCCCTCTTGCACATTGCTTGTTTAAAACTCTGTAGTGTGGTCAACCAGAGACAAGGTCCATGTCTCAAGGAGTTTCTATTCCAGGGAAAGACAGACTAAATATGTGTTCTGGTATCAGACAGTGATCGGTGCTTTGAAAATTATATAAGATCGAGTGCCAGACTAGAAGGCTGCTTCCATTGAGTGGTGAGAAAAACCTCTCTGGTATTTAAAAAAGGAAAAAGCTTTACTGAAATGTTAGGAAGTTAGTTTGGAAATGGTGTAGGCTTATAAGGAATTATAGAAATAGGAAATTCTTACTGTGCTGCTGTGACTGGATGCTGTTTAGAATATCGTTCTCTACTAAGAGGTAGTGTAGCATGCGATAGAAGAAAACCTGGCATGTGCCCTAACTGGGAATCGAACTGTCACCTCCTGGTTCATAGGTTAGGGCTCAACCACTGAGCCACACCAGCTGTGCCATAAGATTTTATTTGAGCCAAACTGATGACAATTGCTGGGAAACTAGAGCTCAGATGCTCCCTAGCATGATAGTTTTGCAGTTTCTTTTATGCATTTGAAATTAAGGAGGGAATTTAAGGGAGATTACATGAAGGAGGAAGAAAGCAAGGTATAGATAAAGTCAAGATTATGTGCTCCCTTGAGGGTGATTCCATCTACTGGGGTCTGAAAAAGAGGATTACATTGGCATTTCAAAGATGCGTTACTGTAGATGACCTAGAACAGTGGTTAGGGCTTGCTTAAGGCAACAATAAGTCTTTTGCTAAAAAAGTTATATGTCTGGGGCAAGACTACCACCATGGCCTGCAAAGTTAGGAATTTATGATCAGATCACCCTGTGAGTTTTCTTTCTGGAAAACTCCTCTTTTTATTCATAATAACTTCGATTCCTTGTAGGGCTATTGGGGAACAATAGCCTTACAGATCCTTAGAAGACCTTTCGTTCATTTGAAAGGGTCTGAGGCATCATAGTAGATTTTTTTGAGGACTTAATAAAGAGTTTTACATTTACAGTCATGTTTTCCTGAGCATCCTTTATTCAGTCTTTGCCCAGAAGTCACTTCTTAATTGTAGCACCATTTGTCTTCTGATAAGTCCAGGGATGAGAAACTTCTATTTCAAGCCCAGTAAGTCCTGGCATTTATATTTAGCAGTTCTCCTCCTGATCCTCCTCCACCCCTCTCCTTCCTCCTCCTTCTTTTCTTTTTTAAAGCTTATCTCTTTCATTATAGGCAGCGAAGAAGCCTATCTGTACTTTCTACTCTGCCTGCAATCTTATCTGGATCATCCACTTCATTAGATACCTCACAGCTAAATATCTGCCTTTCCATACTAAGGTCCTCTTTCTTCCTCCTTGTAACCGGTTTCTCTTTGCTTTCCTTTAGGCACTCCCCACCCTCTCCTTGAGGGGCCTAGGGCTTCCACAAACATTCTTTTCTGTGTCCATTCTGCTGTCTCCTTCCTAAAATACACAGTGGAGAATGAAGGGAGTGGGGCCAGATTATGTAGGCCTTGTAGACCATCATAGGGACTTTGGATTGTACCTTCAGTAAGGAGGGAAACCACTGGAGGATGTTGAACAGAAGAGTAAACTGATTTGACCTGCGTCTTGAAGAATCCCTCTAACTACTAAAGTAGAAGCAGGGATACCATTAAAGGAATTGCTTAAGACATCCAGGCCAGCAATGCTCCTGGACTTTTATAGCCTGGACCGCTGCCTTTCAAAGTTTGTGAGAGAAAGCCATCACTTCAGTTTTGTTACTTTTTGTGCGGTTAACACCCCAAGTTCTGCTTGTCAGTGGATGGCCTGACAGTGGCTCAGAGTAGTCTATTCTTGGTCCCCAGCCTTGTGAGGGCCAAGTGTAAGCCCAAACTGCCAGACGTGCTTTCTGAAAAATAAACTATGATTCACTTAAAAAGAAAAAAGAAAAAAGGCAATCCAGGTGAATGGTGATTGCTTCTTAGACCCTAACAGTGATGAGAATTCTGTTTCTATTTCTAGCACAGAGCCAGCAGCTCTTGCAGGTGAATGGAAGAGATAGATGATAAAGAGGTTTTGACTGGCGCCAATGGAAGAGTGTTATCCATTTACTGAGATGGGGAAGACTGCTGAAGAACAGGTTTTTCTAGGAGGGAGTAGAATCCTCATTTCCCTTTTGAATGTACAACGATTGAGCTCTCATAGGTACAGTGGTGCCTCATACAACGAACTTAATTCGTTCCAGGAGCAAGTTTGTTATGCGAAAAGTTCGTTATGTGAAACGCGTTTTCCCATAACAATACATGTTAAAAAAAATAATTCGTTCTGTAGCATAAAATATGCAAAGATGACATAAAAAAAGATAATTTTTTTGTTATTATTTTTATTTAGATACATCTAAAAACATAATTTTTTTTTAAAAAAAACCACACATTTTTTTAATTTTAAGACAGACTAAGTAGAGTCTACCGAATCTTGCACATCTTCATCCATTTTCTGCTTTTTGGCCGATGGTTTCATGAAAAACCTGTCCAAAGTCGTTTGTTTTTCTCTTTTCTCCAACATCTGCCGGAAATAACGGACAAGAGTATCGGAGTAAAGATCGTTGATCCTGTTTGCTTCAGCTGAATCCGGATAGTGGGCATTGGTAAACTCCTGAACTGCTTTCCATTTGACCAGGATGTTCTTGATGTCGCAGTTGGGATTGGTTGATTGTTTGATTGTTGCTCCTCATTATCAGATGACGCTTCCCTTTGAGCATTGTCCTGTTTCATTTCAACAGAAATCACCTTCCTGCTTTTTTTAGAAGCCATGATATAAAAAAAATATTGAGTTTAACTTAAAAGGACGACTGCCGTGATACGTGCGTGATTTAATTCGTAATGAAGAACGATTGCCGAGATACGTGCTTAAGTTAAGCGCAGTGACTAACGACTGCCTGCAGTGCCTGCGCGGAAGGATGCAAAACATCGGCAGCGATCGTGGAAGCTCGGGCGAAGCAGTCGTGGAAGCTCGGGCGACTTCGTTGTGTGAAACGAAGTTCGTTGTATGAATCATGAAAGGAAGTTCGTTGTGTGCAGCGTTCGCTGTGCGAGGCGTTCTTTATGCGAGGCACCACTGTATTTAAATGGAGCTGTCACGTAGGCAGTTGGATTCAGGGACATTTCTGGTCTGGCTGTGCATTTAGGAGTTGCATAAGTGGCATTTCAAGCCTTGATGTAAGGTGTGAGCTTAGGGTGATCTGGTCTTTCCTGGTTAGGGAGATAATGAGCAGCCAGCAAAGGAGATTGTGAGGGTGTGGCCAGTGAGGTGTGAGTAGAAGCTAGATGTTCTAGAAACTGGTGACAAATGCATTTCAAGAAAGTGGATGAAGACTGCATCTGTCATTAGATTTAGCCACCGTGGGGGTCATTGCAAGATAACTCTAAAGTATTTAAGAGGGAGGAGAGGAGACAAAGTATAAAACAATGGCTTTATATGCCCCAGAGTATAGAAGTGAAATAAGCAGATATAGAGGTTAAAAGGTGTTTTTATTTTATTTTTTTTAATTATGGGAGGAAAAAGTCTTATATTCTCCTAGGAGTGATTCTACAGAAAGAATAACTTTAGTGCTAGAATGAAAGTAAGGATTTGCTGGAGCTGTTTCTGAATAGATAAGTGATGGGCTTAAGTGGAGCGTGGTCAGTTTGTGCATAGAAATAGAGAAGACAGGACCTCAGCCCAGGTACAGAGAGGTTGGTAGATTTGCTGAGAAGGCATGCATGTTCTCTTCTGATGGCTTCAGTTTTCTCAGAGACATTATCAGGATCATCAGCTAAGGGTGGGGAGCCGGTAAGTAGTCACCCAGGCAAGTACAAGAATAAAGTGTGGCGGGGTCCTGGGTCCCCTTAGGTTATTGATAACGAATTTAAATGGAACCCATCTATGGCTGTGCAGTTGGAGTCTCTAGCTCCTGTCAGCCTCTCTGGTGCTGGCCTGTGAGGGCAGAGTTGGTGTGCTTTTCCCAGTGGTTGTAGAGGGAAGATTATGCAAGGTAATCTGCCAGTGAATGACTATAAGGAATAGATAGGAAGTGAGGGCTTGCATGAAGATGGGGAACCTGTGTGAAATAAGATGCAGGAAGGAGGAACTGTGAAAAGAGGGTAGGACCCTGGAATTTCATGTCCTGTTGGAATCAGAACATGAGAAAGGAGTGAGCTGAGAAAAGAGGGGCTGGTAGTTATATGTAAGAACCTTGACATTGAGGTTATGCATTCCTATTCAGTCAGTACTCTAGTGGGTGGCTTGGCCCGAGATTAACATTGGGGGGGGGGGGGGTGTCTCATCCTTGGATCTGCTGTTCTGTACTTTTCTGCAGGTTCTTTCAATACCTCGGTTTCTGTTTCATCCCTTGTAGAATGGTAATTATAGTAGTTCCCACATCATTAGACTTGTTAAGAGAGTTAAAGGAGTAAATAAAATGAGCATTTAATAACTACTAGCTATTGTTATTATTATCTCCGTAACTCTTAGAGTGGTGCCAGGGTCCATGAGTGAGAAGTGGGGCCAGTGACACTTCATTAGGAGCCAGATGTTCCTACAGTGATTCAGTGGAATCCAGTTTTGCTGAATTGGAGGCCTAATTACAATCCCCACCTCCTTCACTGTCTATGGTACAATAACAGGTCCTTGTTTTCACCCCTGCTGTGAGAGCTCTATGATGGTGACTTTACCTGAGATCCCAAAGCTTCTGTGATTCCTACCAAGGAGCAGATTAAAACCACATCCTGTTAATGATTCTTAGAGCGCCTGAGATCTGTCCACAGGGGCACTGGGAAAGCACTAATAGCTGTCATCACAATCCGGGATTTCTTGGAACATGTGCAAATTCTGTTGAGTCCTAGAATGAATAGTAATATCATCTTTGTGGCTCCATTGTTCCTTATGGATGGTCATCCCTTTTTATACTCCCTTAGATCAAGGGGTTGTCTTGATATAGTGAATTTTTGAAGGTTAGGATATTGATTTACTGGACATTGTTAGAATTTTAAGATCTAATTCTGTCCTGTTACCTAGAATATTGATGAAATTGAGACATTATTAGCCAAGGTGAATGAAACAAGCTCAGGGTGTTTAGCCAAGACTGTCAGAGAAAAAGAAGGAACATGTGCCCATCTGTCATTCTCCCCAAATTACATAAATGCCATTAAGACTGACAAGACTGAAGAGTTAAGACCACCTACTAGGTGGCCTCTTGTACCCTCGCAAGGCATCTGAGCCAGGAGGGCTGTCGTCTGGACTCTCAGTGATTGGGTATCAGGATTGGGGTCTGTTAACGTTTTTCTTTGCTAGGAAACCAACTAGAAATCAAGATGAGAGATCAGGGTCGTGTCTGTTCATTGCTATGTTATCTTCCTACAAAACAGGATCCAATCTAGCTGCATATAAATTTGAGATTGGAGAGAGAGCAATGAGGAAAGGAAAGAAGAGTGATTGATTGAGAGATGGAATGTTGTAAGAGATTGGGAGAGATAGGGCTCTCTTTCCTTCTGACTGCCTGGTAGGCAAGACCATGTCACAGAACAGAAAGAATTTGTCTACCCAGAGCTAGCAGAGCCAAACTCTAAACACTGAGAATTGCAATGGCGGAAGATTGGTTATTTTATTGATGAATATCCAGGAGAATGGAAAGCTACTGCTTAAAAGCCTGAACTCCTTTAGGGATAGGGTTAGAGAAATGAAAAAGAAAAAAAAAACACACCAAAAACCTGAACTCCCTGACCCAGAGTTCCAGGAGAGTTTGTAAGGAGTTAGGGGAACAGGTGTGCAGCAGTGCTGGTGGGGCAAATTTTCATTGGAGGACCTTGGGCCTTGGCCATTTGTAGTAAGGGGCGTCAATACAGGATCTTCTTGGACCAGGGACCCTCTGCCTCTGAGAGGGTTCTGGTGCTCAAGTTCCCATCATATCCCGGCTCTTTGGTTCTTTGCGGCAGGGAGGGCACAAGCCTGGTTCTGGATGCAGCTGGAGGTCAGTTCTCCTCTGAGCATGCGTGAGCTTCATGACTTTGTGGTTTTGGTCTGTTGTCCCTGAAAAGCAACTCAGTATCCTGTTAAAGAGGATAGGACCATGTCCTGGTTTTGTGGGTACAACGGCTTCATACCAAGGTGCAGTTCAGAGAAGCCATTCTGTGGCCTGGTGCACAGTTCATTGTGCTCAGCTCTCTGCTCCTCCCTTTCCCACTGCCCTGGACAGACAGGACCGAATAGACCATTTCTCTTTCTGGAAGTCCTGCACAAACACTGATTTCTTAGCTGAGTATTTGTTAGCTGTTTGCAGCACTGATTTCAGGACAGCACTTGACTATTAAGGACCTGCAGTGTTGCATTCTGTGTTGTCAGTTAGAAACGAACCCATTTGCTTTAAGAGCAGTTGAGCTGGTAGACATAATTTGTATAAACATTTAAGGCTCTGTTTTCCTCCATTTCTGTACTTTGGGCAAGTTTTTATTTATTTATAAACACACTGTTCAAAGGTTCCCTCTTTAGTGACACTTCCTACATTCACCCTGCAGAGGTAATTTCCTTTGTACCTAATTTTATCTCATTTTATATGTGTTATTGTCTCACTACAGCATTGGATTGTAATTCTGGGTCCCTGTCTCCTGCTAGGTTTGGGTGCCTCAATGTTAGGCCTAGGTCTTAGTCATTTTTGTTTTCCCACACCACCCAGGACAAAGTCTGACATCACATACAGAGAGCACTATAGTGTTCCAGGAATGTTAATTGAATGAATGAATGATGCACAGTTTCAGAGCTGACATCCTTTCTGAATGTAGGTGGATACCTTGGATATAGTTGTTAAAATTGGGATACTCTGTTCATTGGAAAATTCTTGTGACCCCTTTTTCTCATTGGTTATAGAATAACTGCCTGATGTATTTCGTGGTGACCAGATGTGCTATGTCTGATTGCTTGTTGATAATGAGCAGTGACAAATGTGGTCATAGTATGGCTGCTTTGGTTTCAAGGTCATTTTCTTCCTCTTGGTTGAACGTAAGTGGGTTTTACATGTTAAGATGTTAGCTTATGAAACCTGGTGGCTTATGTTTATTAGTTCTGTTCTGGAGCATTTATCATCGTCCGACCTCTATACCCTGGGTTTTCATTGGGATCAAATGAGATTTGTGCAGGATGAGTGCGGGGTTGATGCTCAGCATAGCTAATGTGCAGTGAAGCGGATCAAACATCTTTTACTGAGTTTTGAGCTTTTTTTTTTTTTTTTTTGCTTCAAAATTGTAATTTTCTCAGAACCTTCATTATACTTTTCATCTCAAAAATCAGTTTGCTCTCAAGGAAAGGGATTTATTTTTAAAGTGTATAGCTTATTAGTAATATGAGCATTTTTAGTCTTTCCTGTTACAATTAGTTAAGTTTTCTTTTTGTTTTATTTACCTGGCTTTTTAATGACCGAAAAACATTTTGGAGGCAAAAAAAAAAAAAAAAAGTTGGTTTTAGGAATCTGTAAAATTTGTTTTCTTGGAATGATGATGTTAGAAGGGGAGATGAGAAGCTTTCGTCCAATTTCTGTTCTTACCAGTTTCAAGGTGAGATTAGATGGAGTAATCGGACCAGAGGCCCCTTCCCTTTCCTCTTTCTAGCCCCAAACGCTCGCCGAGACCTCAGGTGTACTAGTAAGTGCGAGGAAAGGCTTAATATTATGCTTCCTTGACATTAGAGGGGGAATGGAGAGCCTCTAATGGCTCAACTCCAAGTGCCCTCCCTGAAGGGCTCCTATGGATAGGGTCCCCTCACCAAATAACCCTCCGGGACCCCAGCTAGCTGACATCTTGATTTTGGTCTTGTGGGAAACTACCTTATCTCAGAACTTGGAGACCATGAATGGGTATTGCTGTAAGCTTCTAAATTTCTAATACTTAGCTACAGCAGCAATAGAAGTCTAATGCAAGAGTTTATTTTATTATTTTTTCAACAACAGAAATTTATTCCTCATGGTACTGAAGGCAAGTGTTTAAAAGTGGTTAGTTGTGTGTGTTTTTATTGGTTTTATCTCCTTTGAAAAATCCAGGGGTAGTCAAACCTTTTTATTTAACATCAGCGGCAAGAAACAGTCCACCCGCCTATTGTTTTCATTCCATGAGAAGTGTTCGTAGCTTTATGTAGTTAGGGGAACAGGTCTGCTCTGTGCCCAACACACAGCTTAACATTTGGGTTGATTTTCTCTACTTGTACGAATCAGTGTTTCCATATGAATGATTATTTTAACACTAGAGCCACATCTTTGGTCACTGTGGGCTCCAAAAGCAACTCATTAATTATAGCCTCTACTTCAAATATCTTTTTAAATTTTATTTTAAAAGTGAGTGATTTTAGACTTTCAACAATCAAGAACTGGTAAGAAGCAGAATATTAAACATTGCATTATAAGTATAGGTATTTACTTTTTTAAAAGTTGAAAAATTTAAACTACTGTGAGTGCAAATAGTGAAGATTATACATATATATATGAGTACATTTTAGTCCTGTAATAAAATGTTATATTAAAATGATTATCACATATTTACTAGTAGTATGATTAATTATTATCATATTAAATGAAATTAGGACTAAAAGGTAAGGGGATTGCACATAAAGTTATAATTCATGTTTATAGTTACTGCTACTGTTCTGTAGCAGAGCAAGCAGAGGGGCAGGGATGGGGGACCTGAGCAGGCGGGTTCTTTTGGATCCTTTTTAGACCCTTGGTTCCTGACCCAGGAGTGTCGGGGGAGTGGGAATGTTTTCAACAGGTGAACATGCGTGCTGTGAATGCAGTGGCTCAGGGTGGACCAGCTCCTACCCCCCTGATGTGAGAATTGACCCTTATTCATTCAGAAACATAAGAGAATGGAAACTGGTTAGCTGGGCCCTCTGGATTCCAATATTTGGCAGGAATAGCCAAGGAGAGTCCCCCCAGTATGTATTTCTAGGGGAACCCAGATATTCCCTCCTCTGTGCGTCTGCTTGCTCTTCCCGCAGGTGCAGAGATGGGGCTGGAGGCATGTTCCTTTTTCTCCCAGTGATTTTATTTTACAAGGGGGAGGCCTAGGCCAAAAATTCTCCCATCACTGTCTAAGAGTCTGCTCATTAAAGATTAATTTGAATTAATTTAATTAAGCAAGTACCATAGGCTGGTTAAGAATGACCTCATACCTTCATCATCATATCACTAGCATGTGTTGCAAACTTAGTATGAAACAGGGACTATTCTGAAGACTGTCCATGAATTAACTTATTTAATCCTCTCAGCAAACCTATGAGGAAGGTTCAGAGATGGTCCAGTACCTTACTCCTAGTGCCATGGTGATGACGAGGGGAGAGTTAGGGCAGAATCCACCTGGATCAATCCTGGGACACAGACCTTCAGCCACTGCACTGAGCCACCTCTCCTGGTCACCTCAGCAGGATTTGATTTTACTTGCTAGCTTTCTTTCTTCCATCTAGCAGCAGCTCCTGTAAGAGACGGGACTGGAAGTGAAGAGGATGAGGAAGTTTTAGGGGGAGACATACTTAACTGTAGGGGGAGCTGTGATGGGGATTTTGTTAAGAGAAGGGTGGCATTCTCCATGGCCATTGTTTTGCCACCCAAAGCAGTAAGATGCATTCACGGGCAACTTGATATTGCAGTCAGCGCTAGAATGCACAGCGCTAGAATGCCCAGCAGGTACTGTTTCTCCTCTCTGCTGCTCTCTGAATGTTGATATCGTTTTCTTTTAATGTTGTAGCCACAGAAAGCTCTTATGTATGTTTGTGTGTGTGCATAATAAGTTAAATGCTTTCCTTATTATTTAAATGTCACTTAAAATAACATTTTTGAATGTTTTTGAAGTAAAGGCTAATGAAAAGCAACTAATTCTTATAATTATCCCTTTTATTCCCCACACAGTATTGGCTGGATCCTGCAAAAACCCTTGCTGAACACAAAGAACTTATCAACAGTAGGTATTTAATTTATTTTTATATTTTTAGTAGGTATTTAATTTTAATCTTGTTAAGGGATGCCTTGAGAATGATGTCATGCCTGTGGTTAGTTGGGGACTGAAATAGTCTCCAGTACTGTGGGGAAGAGTATGAGTTCTCAGGTGCCAGAATATGGAAATGAATGTTTGTTTATTGCTGGGTCTCTGCAAACTCTGATGAAATTCCAGTTGATAAAGACTGAGCAGATCTTAGTATTGAATTTGCTTGGTGTATTCCTGCTAGTGACTTTAGTTAATTTCTAGTTGCTTGTCTTTAAATTTTCACTTTAAAATAAAAAAGGCAGAGAGGCTCTGATTTGGAAAAAAGTGAATAGTTAACCCATTAAAGTACTTGTATTTCTTGAGTTAGAGTAGGCTTTGTCATACCATTCACTTTGCTGAGTCAGTAATTAAGAAATGCCCTTACCCTAGCCGGTTTGGTTCAGTGGCTAGAGCGTCCTCCTGCAACCTAAGGGTCCCAGGTTCCATTCATCCTCAGGGCACATGCCCAGGCTGCAGGCTTGATCCCCAGTAGGGGGCGTGCAGGAGGCTGATCAATGATTCTCACTCATCATTGATATTTCACTCTCTCTCTCTTTCCCCCTCTCCCTTCCTCTCTGAAATCAATAAAAATATATTTAAAAAAGAATAAAACATTGATATTACTATTGCAGAAAGATTATTTAACTGAAGAATACATAATCTTTATTTTTTATCTCATGAGATAGTTTGATAATGATGGAGAAGAGTGTCTCTCACATCTTCAATATGTATGATATCTATCAGTCAGAAAAAATAGCTATAAAAATGACAGAATACTTGCTAGTCACCAGGATTCTCATGGGTAAGTCTTGATTTATTAAATTCTGTGTTAATGGCAGACTTTTAAAAATATATGTATGTTTTTATTGATTTAAGAGAGAGGGAGGGAGAGGGAAAGAGAAACATCAATGATGAGAGAGAATCATCGATTGGCTGCCTCCTGCATGCACCCTACTTGGGATCGAGCCTGCAACCCAGGCATGTGCCCTGACCCAGAATTAAACTGTGACCTCCTGGTTCACTCAACTACTAAGCCACACCCGCCAGGCTGGGGGACTTTTTATTACCATTAAAGGTCTTGAAATTAGTCTTCAAAAGGTAGATTAGAGGATTCCCAGCTTCTGGCTTCTGTATTTTTTGCTAAAGTGAAACAATATTGACTTACTTTGCATAAGGGTTTCTTAAAGGTAGATTGTGGAAAGACATGGATTCAAGATTATAGTAACTTGGGAATTTGCTTCATAAGCACCTATTTCTTATAGTCAGTCTTAGACACAGCCTTGCTCCAGAAATTTCCATTTCCATGGCCTTTGATTGATCTATAAAGCAGTGATGTTTATGAAAGATTTTGCTTATTCTATAGTTATTATAATTTCTTTCCCGAGAGGCTGTATGATATAGTGGCCAGAAAGCACTGAATGCTAGGAGCAAACTTGATTCTTAGTTTGTGATCCCTATGATCTTAGGCAAGTTGCTTTCCTCCTTGGAGCTTCAACTGCCTTGTGTGCATTACCAGGTGGCTGTTGAGAATCACATGTTTAGGAAACATTTTTGTACTTTACCCAATGCAATCAAATGGGAATGATGCCTTATATTTATAACACACACCATTTGTATGTGTAAGGAGGCTATCAGTCCTTTAAGAAAATTAGCCCAAACCAAACGTTTCCAATTGTGTAGTTTTCAAACTTCTGCAAAATCGCTCGTCACCGAACACGTTTGAAGTAGTTGGTTGGTCTGGTTGGTCAGGAGGGTGTCATCTGTCATGTTCCAGAGGGTAAAAGCAGCTCTGGACTCGGGACGAGGTCTTCTCCCTTTGTGCACAGTCTCAGCAGCATCTGTGCTCTTCCTGCCCCCAGACACCAGCCCCAGTGACCTGCAGGCACAGGCCGACCCATCTGCTCAGTAACACAGGGCTTGATTGACAAAGATGGATCAGTAGAGGGTGGACTTCCTGGCTCTTCTAAATATTTAATATTTAATATTTAATATTTAATAGTCTGTTCCTCCCCAACACCTGTATTCAGAGAGAGGGGTGTGCTTTTCAGAAGCACAGTGGTTAACTAAACGTAGAAATCAAACATATGGATCAACTCTAATGGTAAAACATGACAACCAAGTTTCTTTTAGAATTGAGTTTTTAAAGAAGGTCTAGCATAAGGAGTGCCTACCCAGGATGAGGGAGGGGAGTGGGGCTGTAGTCTTGGTTGTCTTCTGTGTACCTACTTCATTTTGTATTTCCTTGTTCTTTAGAAATTCTTGGTGAGTATAATTTTTAAATAACTTTATTGAGATAGCTGTGACATGTAAAAATTGTTTATTTGAGGTATACACTTGATGTTTAGGTTTAGATATATGCATACATACATTACCTCTTTATAGTTACCCATGTATGTGAGAAAATTTAAGTTTTATCCTCTTAGCATATTTCTATTATACAACACACTGTCAATAACTAACATCACCAGGTTGTACATTAGATTCCCAGAGCTCATTCATCTGGTGTAACTGAAACTTCATGTTCTTGACCAACATCTGCTCATTCCCTTCCTCCAGCCTCTGGCAACCACCATCTATGTGCATGACTATTTTATTTTATATATATATTTTTTTAATTTAAATTTTATTTTCAGTTACAGTTCACATTCAATATTATTTTATATTGTGTGGGACTGTTTTAGATTCCACATATAAGTGAGATCGGGTAGTATTTGTTTGTTGTGTCTGGCTTATTTCACCAAAAATAATTCTCAAGTTTCATTCATGTTATCTCAAATTGGAGTCTTTCCTTCTTTTCTTTGGCTGAATAATATTCCATTGTGTGTGGGTGTAGGTGTACCACATTTTATTTATCTATTGTTTCATTGATGGACACTTTGATTGCTTACATACCTTAGCTATTCTGACTAATGTTACAATGAACATGGGAATGTAGCTATCTCTTTGAGAAATGTCTTTCATTTTTTTTAGATAAATACCCAGTAGTGGGATATGGTAGCTCTATTTTTAATTTCTTGAGGAACTTCCATACTATTTTCTATAATGGCTGTACCAATTTACATTCTCACCAACACTTTTGTTGTGTGTGTGTGTGTGTGTGTGTGTTTTTACATTCCTACCAACAGTTGTCTTTTTGATAATAGCTATTCTTATAAGTGTAAGGGGATGCCTCATTGTTGATTTGCACTTCCCTGGTGGATAGCGATGTTGAAAACCTTTTCGTGTATCTGTTGGCCATTTGTATGTCTATTTAGGTGCTTTGCCCATTTTTTTAATTGCTTTTGTTTTGTTTTGTTTTTGCTATTGAGTTGTATGAGTTCCACATATTTTGAAGGCAGCTATGCTCACCACTATACCACCAACGCGGACAGAAGTTCCACATATTTTGGATAATAACCCCTTATTTAGTAAATTACTTATAAATATTTTTGGAAATATAATTTTTAATAGTTGAATAATATTACACTACTACTTTACCTAATTTATAATGTTAAATCTAATTAATTTCTATTTCTTATTTTAGCTGGACCTCCATATACTTTGTATTTTGGTATTAAATTCTATGCTGAAGATCCATGTAAGCTTAAAGAAGAAATAACCAGGTACAGTATTTGACTTTGCTTTTGAACAGTACATGTATGGCATATACAAAGGCTTTATTTTAAAAATGGAGCCAACCATTTGGATGCATGTCTACCTGCGTTTTGGAATGCATCTCCTGCGAGAGTTAAATTTAAACCAGCATTGCGTGAGGCAGATCCATGTCTGATGATAGATGTGTATGAACAATGGTATGCACCTGGGTGACACAATGATAGATTTTGCATCTGCTGTGATGGGATATTTCCGTATCATTCTTGTGAAGGATGCAGTCAGCCATTGAAGTCATAAAAGTAGCCGTTTGAACTGGGTAAAGGGAGATATTTTGATGCTCAGTTTGTGTATGTACAATAAATATAAAGTTGAAGAGCCAGTTATTTCTTTTTAATTGGTTATAGCTTAAATGTCAGCTGTCCGGGGTTTCACTTATCTCTTTAGGAAATGAAAAAAGTGTTTTTAGTGTTTCATGATGTATTACTTCACCTTTATCATAAAATGTTTTATTTCATTTAAGGCAGAATTTTCAATTGGTGTTGATTCTGTTGTTAAAATAGCTCATGCAGCATTTGAAAGTGGTTTATAAAGAGCAGGCAGTCCTGTGATATTTTCACTCTTCCACCTGTGACTAAATTGCACAGGGTAGCAAAACAAAAGCATTTTCCCCAACTTTACAAGTAATGTCTAATTTGTTATTCAAAAAATTTGAAATCATATCTTTGAAAACTAAGTTAGTCTGTGGTTTTGTTCCTACCATTTTTTCATCTTCTCCTTTAGGCTTTGTTTTGACTTGATTCTAAACTGCACACAAAGAGGGATTTAATTGGGTATTTTCTGTTATACTCTGAAGTGCTGTAATTAGGCCTCTTTTTTAGTACTGAGCTGATGCCTGCATTCATGTTATCTATCACCACGTTGTTAGTGAGCATGTGGAAAGCAGTCCTGTCCATTCAGCTTTCTGTGAGCATACGTCTGTGGGAGAAGGGCCAGTGTGTTGGGAGATGCTGAAGAGTGGGATTGTATTAACAAGAATTTTATGAATAGTCTTGCAACCAAGAAGGATTTCTGAGTTGTGGGCTCATGGGGAAACTGAGTCCACGTAATATAAAAGCACATTTATGTCTGTAATTCATTAGGGACTTGTAAGGAAACAACATTTTATGAAAATACAAGAAAAGTCCTTCATTTTGAGGTTATCAGTAACCTCTCTGTGCCTCAGTTTCTTTGACTGTAGAATTGGAGATGTTTCTGTCTCATAAGGTTCTTGTAAGCATTCAATAGAATAGTGTATGTGAAATTCTTACACAGTTGACTCTTGAACAATACCGGTTTGAACTGAGTGGGTCCATTTGTATATGGACTTTTTTCAATAAATGCTGTAAATATATTCTTTCTTCCTTGTGATTTTCTTAGTAATATTTTATTTTCTCTTGCTTTATTATAAGAATACAGTATAACACATGTAACTTACAGAATATGTCTTGACTGTTTAAGTTATTGGTAAGGCTTCCAGTCAACAGTAGACTGTTAAAAAATTAAGCTTTGAGGGAGTCAAAAGTTATATATGAATTTTCAACTGCATGGGGCATCAGCTCCACAAACCCATATGCTGCTCAAGGGTCAACTGTAGTTTGTTGTGTTTGCCTCATAGTAAGTGCCTGATAAATGTTAGCATTTATTATTTCATTTTCTCCTAGTTCTTCAGTTTAGTGGAGTTCCATCTTACTTGAGGGTTAGGTTCCAAAAGATAAGTGATTTAATGTTAAGAAGGCAGGGAAGTGGGGGTTGAGGGAAGAACAATGTCTTATAATGCATTACGTCCCATGTGTTCACCAGAAATTAGTGATGGCCAGACATTTCCTAACAGCTAATTAACAGAATACATAGATTTGTGTTATGTATAAACCCACAAATAATTCAGTGCCACCTGATTTTCCTCAAGTATTAGACCAGATCATATAGTTAAGACCCAGATGATAGAATTGGCTTACATGTAATGACCACTATTTATAATTTATTTTTATTGCCAAAAACATATAGTAGAATTTAGGTAAATTAAATGTGTATTTAATGTGATATTATTGTGCACTTATTCTCAGTGTGTCCTATTATGTGCTCTAAAATGTGTGCTGAGCCGAGATCGGTTTGGCTCAATGGATAGAGCGTCGGCTTGGGGACTGAAGGGTCCCGGGTTTGATTCTGGTCAAGGGCATGTACCTTGGTTGCGGGCATATCCCCAGTAGGGGGTGTGCAAGAGGCAGCTGATCGATGACTCTCTCTCATCGATGTTTCTAACTCTCTATCTCTCTCCCTTCCTCTCTGTACAAAATCAATAAAATATATATATTTAAAAAAAAAAATAATAAATAAATAAATAAAATGTGTGCTGATATAAACAAAGTTCGGGGACTCCAAGGTCATATATCCTAACCTTCACCTTTATAGAACATCCCTGGTATGCTAGCCTGCTTCTTTATAAATATTTTAAAGATAGGGAACCTTACTCTTCACAAAGCAATGGGAAACTCCATAACAAGTGCCTAGAACTAGGTTTTCTTTCTAGGTCTATGCAGAATAAATACAAGATTTTCTCTCTTGTCAGTTCTTAAAGTAATTCGTGTCCTCATGACATCTGTAAAAATTATCTTCAATTCCAATCCAAAATATTATGACAGCCTTTCGTGTATTCCATGTCATTCATAGCTCTGAGCCCTCTGGACATTTGGTGAGCATAATGCAGTATGGGTTAAGAAGATGGGCTTTGGAGTCAGACAGGCTGAGGTCTGCATCCTTGCTCTGCTACTCACTAGTTGTGTAATCTTGAGAAGCTTACCTAAACTTTTTACTAGGATAATCTGTACTAGGGGCCCAGTGCACGAATTCATGCATTTTGAAAGAAACTGTGGGCCAGGAGACTGTGGTGGGCACAGGGGTGAGTCTCGGCCCATCTTCCACATCCCTGCCTGGCTCCTCCCACCACAGCCCCTGGTCCCGTCTGCTGGCAGCCCCATTCCCACTGCCGCTGCTCCCATGTGCTGATAGTGCTGGCTCCTGCTGACGGCATGGAGCAATTGGGGCTGGTGCTAGCAGCGGGTGCAAGTGGGGCTGGCACTGTCAGTGGGTGCAAGTGGCAGCTGCTGCCCCAATTGCCCCTCAGGAACAGGGGAAGGTGGAGAAGCTCTCAGGGGCGATCGGGGCTGGTAGCTGCCACTCAGACTCACTCATAATGCCGAGAGATTGGGACTAGTGCTGGGTGCTGGCTGTGGGTATAAGTGGGGTTGGCACTGGCAGTGGGTGTAAACTGCTGCTTTGGTGTCAGTAGCTGGTGTGAGTAAGGCCATTGCTGGCAGTGGATGTGAGAAACGGCTGCTGGCCCCGATCTCCCTAACTCTCCCTGCTCCTGATGGGAGATCAGGGCCAATAACCGCTGCTCACACCTACTGATGGCGCCAAGCAATTGGGCTGGCACTGGGCCACCAGCACTAGGTGTGAGAGGGGCTGGTGCCAGCAGCAGGGGCAAGCACCAGAGGCAGGGAGGACTGGGGACCGCAGGAGCAAAGAATTTTTGGTAACCACCAGAGGCTTGGCCCGATGACAGTGACCAGCGCCTTGCCTTGGTCTGGCACCCCTGCTCACCTGCAACACCATCCTGCCAGGGCCAACAGCCACCATGTTCTGTGCATGCTCCCTGGTGTTCAGCATATGTCAAAGTAACCAGTTGTTCTGTTGTTCCACCATTCTGTTGATTTGCATATTAGCCTTTTATTATATAGGATTCTCATCTGTAAAATGGAATTAAACTATTTATTCAAAAAGATGTTGGAGGAATAGATGACAATACATGCAAAGTGCTTATAATGCAAAAATGTAAGTAGATGGTACAGTTAGCTTAAATGGAAACAATAATAATTATTTTACATTTTCAAATTATTGATTATAAAATTAGGGAGGAAAAGACCAATTGGAGCCCTGAGACAGGTCCTTCAGGTTAAAATCAATCCACTAAAGAGAACTTCCTGGGTGTAGTTGTTCATTTAACTATAAATTATTCTACTATTGCCTCTAGCCTGCATTTCTTGAATTCATATGAAAAGACAGAATTCACTCACTCATCTACCCTTCATTCACTAACTACATGGAGCATCGTGTTCCAGTGCACTGAGTACCAAGGAGATTCAGTAGGGACCAAAGAAAGATAGGGTTTCAGTCCGAGGAGAGACGATAGACAGACTGCATTGCTTTGCTGATAATGCTATCTGTGATGCCAATGAAATTTGCCTGAACTTTTAAGGATCTAACAACTATTTCTACAAAAAGAAAATAATGTTAGTTCCAAATGACTGGTTCATAATTAACACTTTTTAGCTTTTGAAAATGAGTCTCTGTTTTATAATATTTTATAGTATTTTCTGGTGATTGACATTAAGCTTGCTAATTATTATTACTACTTTAGTGGTTCATATTCTTCACGTTGTGGTGATTAGCTTGTTTCAGCTTCTTTGGTAGCTGAGGGACCTTCAGTTACATGTCCACTTCCAGAGTCCCTGTCTCCTCGTGAAGATAGTGTCCTTAGTTCATTAGATTTGAAGGGCGGATTGATTTCCAGAATGGATACAAAAGAAATTTGTGAACTTTAGTGGATTATACAAATGCAAGGTGATACTATTGCTGCTTTTCCAGTATTTTTACCATCAGTTTTAAACCTCCGAGGCTAAAGTGTTATTCCAGAACTTCTTTGTCCCTTACTCTTGAGAATTAGTGGTTGCTTCCTCTACTATTTTTCTTCTTAAGCTATACATCCTATTTCCTCCACAGTGTTTAATATTATGCTATTATTGAACCATTTCCCTCTGTCCCTTGCATTTAAGTTAATCCAAAGTGATTCAGTTGCTGTCCTGGGCTGTGTTCCCTCTCTGTGGTGCAGAATCCAATCCCGCTTCTGTGTGGATAGGATTCTCCTTCAAGGTCACGTTTAGCTGGCACCCAAAAATCAGACTTCTGCTTGTCCCCACCCACGCCTTTCAGATTCCTCACCAGGGCCTCAGGTCAGGTGCTCCTTGGGCTGTTTGGTGTGAGCATTCCTGGCTGTCTTTCAGGAGAACCTTCTGTCTGGGCTCCTGAAAGAACAGGGTCTCTCTGCCCTTTCTCTGAGCAAACCTTCTTTGCCCATTCTTCCCGCCTCTGATACGTGCTAAATTGTTCACGGTTCGAACATCGTTGGTGTCAATTCAGCTGTCTTTATTGAACAGCAGATCCACAGGCAACTGTGAGGCCAGTGTTTCAGCCCTTCTCTTGTGCTGAACTGCTTGTAGGGTTGCAGTAAGGGAAGGTGGAGCACTTCTTCCCCAGAGCCCACGTCTAGCTTGGGAGATAGTGCATGCGTACCAGTGTGGTAATTTAACAAAAAGATGGCCAGTGGTTGCTTTATGTTGCTCTGCTTTGCATCTGAATGTGTTCTGGAAAGCTTCCTTATTAAGTGGATCATTTTTAGTCAGCATCTTTTTCCCCCCAATAGGGGTAAAATACAACTAGAGTCACAATATACTTTATTGTTCAAACCCTGACACTGCAGAATGACTAGGAGATTAATACTTAGGAATGTATAATAGGCAAAACTAGAACTGTCCTAGGTAAACTAGAATGTAGATTCACCCTAAAACTGGAAATAAAAAATGACTCAAGTATCCATTCATAGCCTTAATCAGAATGATTAAGAGCCCTGACTGGGTAGCTCAGTGGACTAGAACTTCATTTCTATATGCCAAGGTCGTGGGTTTGATCCTGGTCAGGGAACATACAAAAATCCACCAGTGAATGCATAAATAAGTAGAACAAGTTGATGTTTCTCTCTTTCTCCCTTCCTCCTTTCCTCTAACATCAATTAAAAAAAAGAAAAAGAAAAGAAAGAATGACAGATGAAAAGGCCCAGCTACTCTAAATCTGCAATTTAAGTAAAATATTTGGTGTACTCTAAGTCCATAAAATGGACAAAATGATTTGTATACAGTTAATTACAAATAAGACCACTACATAGTGTGTGTTTGGCATATAAAAATAGAATTTACTGTGTCGTAAATTTGTCTTATATAAAACTAACATAATGCTTGCTATCATAAAGATTAATCAAGTTTCTAATTAAAAATAATTCACTTGTCTTCCTTGATTTTATTGGATTTTTTAATGCAACAACTTAAAGATTTCTAGTGTCTTTGAAAGGCATGTTATCTAGAGAAGTTTGAACAGATGTCCTTTTTTTCTTTTTCTTCATGAATTTCTCAGAGGCAGCAAAGAATGTTCAGTGTGTTTTTTTCCTATTTCCATGCATCCATCTGTTCATTCATCTAGCCATCCATCAAGACAGCAGTTCTTTATTGAGTAGCTACTGTGTGCTGAGCCCTCCAGAGTGGGAGTAGAATTAACAATGGGTTATGGTTCCTGTCCTTTGTATCTGTTTGTCTTTCTCTGTTTCAGCTGTGCCTTTGTTGTTCACCTCCCTCTGTTTCTCTTTTCCTTTCTCTTTGAAGCAAACTCTTATGGGAGCAGATCTCTCAGTTTCTGTATTTGGCAAAGGATTTGACTATTCAGTCAGATGTTATAAATGTCTTAATACAGCAAGACAAATATTCATCTGTGACCCATTTTCTAAAAAAAAAAAAAAAAAAACACTTCAGGAAAATAAATTCCAAGGTAACAATAGAGAAAGAGAGTGTAGCTAAATGCAAGCTTCTAGCAAGCAGTAGTAATGCTAGTGAAATGTTTCTTTAGTGATAAGCTTTTGCATTTAGTTTCTGCTAATATCACTTTACTCCTCTTCAAGAGGAGCCCAGTTGACTACAACAAAGTGGATTTGGTGGCCAAGCATTCAGGGAGTGGAAAGTAACTAAGGGGAGCTGGGAAATGTGAATGACAGGGAGTGGTGGTGACGGGAAGTCAGCGGTCAATGACAAGAGATTTGGCTCAGGAAGTAAGCAGAGGTCTTAACAAGCTATCTTGAGGATCTTCATCTTAATCCTGAAGAATTTAGGGTTGTTTTTGTTTGTTTTTTTAAACAAGGGAGAGACCTGATCCTATTTACCTCACGGGAAGGTGGTTTGGAAGGGAGTAGTGTGAATGATGGCAGGACATGAAGGTTTTAGAAATCCAGTGGGTAATGACTTGGAGTAGGAGATGGAGAGAAGTACTGTATTTTTCGGACCATAAGACGCTCCGGACCATAAGACGCACCAGTTTTTAGAGAAGGGAAATGAAGAAAAAAAGATTCTGAAACAAATAGTGTCCTAAAATATTTTATGTGCATTAAAACCCAACATCACAGTCATAAACACATGTAATCAACCCTGTAAAGTAAACAGCAGCATTTAGAACCATTTTAGAGCCGGGCAAGCACACAGAGACCACACAGAGCCGGGCAAGTAAAAAAACTTTTTTTAAAAAGTATATGTGTAGGCTATATTTGGACCATAAGACGCAGGGACTTTCCCCCCCCCCCCCCCACTTCTGGGGGGAAAATGCGTCTTATGGTCCAAAAAATACGGTATATAGATTCCCAGAACAGCAGGTTTAGAGATGGAATGTGGGTGCCAGGGCTTACACATTGTTCCTAGGTTTCTCTTACTTGGGTGTCTGGAGAACTGTGGTGCCATTTATTGGCAGTGGAAAAGCACAGGCTGGGAAGCATGTTTTCACTTCAGCCTGTGGGCACAAAGTGGATATCAGTCTTCTAGAAATAATACGAGTAGCGGCTAACATTTGGATATCCTCACTAAGAGCTTTGGTGGTGAGCATTTGGAAAAGAGAAATTTATCACAACTGATTTTTAGAATTTATTCTTTGCTTTTTTTTCTGCCGCTTCCCTATGACATGTTGCAAAGAAAGATAAGTCACAAAGGACAGCCTCATTTTTGTGTGTGTGTGTGTGTGTGTGTGTGTGTCTGTGTGTCTGTGTGTTTCTGTGTGTATATCTGATAGAGAAAGAGACAGGGAGAGAGATGGTGGCTGGGGCTTGTGTTGATGATTCATTGTATTGATTCATAAACCTCTGGCCTTTCTCAACCCACTGGCAGAAAGCCTGAAAGGGTGGGTAGGTGGAGGGTGGGAAGCTAGCCAGAGTTCCCTGGCACCCTCATTAAGAGATATCTAGGGTCAGGTGCCCTGGAATCCAGGTCTGGCTCTGCTCCTTAGCTCTTGTGAGACCTTGGACAAGTTACTTCATCTCTTTGTGTTGTTAGTTTCTTCATCTGCAAAATGGACGTGATAATAGTCCTGATTTGATTTTAAAGTCTTACATACGTTATTGTATGTAAAACACTTGGAATGAGTTCCTATATTTACAGTGTTTAGAAAGGTGGGTGGCACTATTATGATAACAGGTTTTCTTTTGGCAAATGGAAGGAGCAAAACTGCAGATAATGGGCAGGGCCTTAATAAGCAGGAGGATTGATGGAACGACACTATCGTGACCTTTTGTCCTGCATGGATGATTTTACGCCCTGTAGATAACACATCATCAGGGCTGGGTCCTTGCGATTTGTTCCTCCCTTTAGGAGCATGTTATCACAGCAGTGGCCGTGGCGGTAATGACATTGTAACAGTAGCTTACCTAGAACCTCCACATCAGCCGTGTGAGGTATAGCTCCTTCCCTCCCTGAGTTTTCCAGGTGAGGAGGTGGCTGTTAGAGAGGTCAGGCAGCCGCCCGCGGCCACCGCCTGCGGGGCTGGGATGGGATGCAGTCCAGCCAGTCTACGTGGAGCGCCTTCTCTTTTAGTCTCTACCCTGCATTGCCCCCGCAGAGGGTGCTTACAGTCTGTTCACGCAGCAGCCCCCTTCATACAAAAAACCAGGAAGCATTTTATTTTCATTAGTCAGGCTCTGAAGCTGCAGGTCTGGGTAGTGTACGATACCATTAATCTCGTTTTCCACTTCTCTTTCAGATACCAGTTTTTCCTGCAGGTGAAGCAAGATGTCCTTCAGGGCCGGCTGCCCTGCCCGGCCAGCACTGCTGCTCAGCTGGGAGCATATGCCGTGCAGTGTAGGTCCCACCGACGTGCATTTGCTGCAGAGATTTTGAGGACAATGTTTGAATTTTTCTGTTTATATGCTAAAATGTTTCTTATCAAGATGTTCTACTGGGGGGGAAAATGGAATTTAGTCAGAATCAGGTTTTAATAAGATCCCTTCGGAAGCAGTCAACATGAAGCCAGCTGTACATTCCTAGTGGTGGGTCCAGTGCGGGTTTGGTTGCAGGCATAGCATTGATTGTTGAAGAGGAGGGTCTGAAAATCTGTTCTCTCCGTTCCACCTGAGCTCCTTGTCCCCGGAGCGGTTGTGTCTCAGAGACCACGCTGCTTCCTGGCAGCTGTCGTGAAGACCCTACGCGGTCAGGCGCCAGGCCAGTGCAGAGGGTGGCACACGCTGGGCGCTCACTGCACTTCAGCTCATGGCTTCGGTATTTGCTCCCCTGGGGGCATTTCCAGGTCGCATTGTCATTTTTGAGACAGGCTGAGGGGGGGGGGGGGGGCGACGGAACAGCATGTTCCCTGCCTTCGAATGGCCTTTGCAGATTAGACACAGCCTAGAAAAAGTATCCTAGGAATAATGTCACATAGAGGAACTTGGCTGGGTTTGTAAGGCGCATTATTAATGTAAGGAAGAGGATTTTTTTATAAGCATAATATACTAAGCTTTCTGGTTGCATTTTGTTTCTTCGTATAAACTGTAATGGGGTTATGTGCAGCATTGTACTATATTTTCATGACCATTATGTGTGGCAAATACATTTTGAATCACACGCTCTATTTCTTGGTGTCATTGTCTGAGAGGATATATTGGGGTCGTGGCTGTTATTCACTTCTAATATTTCCAATGTCTGTACTCTAAATTGTTTATAACTTTTTTTCATTTAAATGATAAGAATAATTGGAATGAAAATAATTATAGTCTTTCAGAAAGCAAAAACACAGAACATATGTTTTTAGGATAAGGTATTTTTTTTAATACCGTTCAGATATATGCTCATCTGAGTTATTTTTTACTAAAACTATTTACATATATGTGAATTATCAATAAGGCATTTGAAGAACATGTTTAAGCACGACAGCCATATGTGTATTCCTGTATCCTGGAGGAGAATATTTTCCTAAAATGAAAAAAATATATAATTGTTTTCCTTTTTTAGCTGAACTTGGAGATTATGACCCATATAAGCATACTGCAGGATATGTGTCAGAATACCGGTTTGTTCCTGATCAGAAGGAAGAACTTGAAGAAGCCATAGAAAGAATTCATAAAACTCTAATGTAAGAGTCACGTTATTAACTATAATTAACAGGCTGAGCATTAGGTCCTCAGACATTAGTCATCTTTGACCAGCGTCTCCCCCAAGTCCCCCAACCTGATTACCAGCCTGGGAGCCACTGTTCCAGGCTCTGTTTCTATGAGATTGGCTTGTTTGGATTTTTGCATACAAGAGATACCATGCTTATTTTTCTCTGACTTATTTTACTTAGCATAAGGCCCTCAGGGTCCATCCATATACTTGAAAGTAGCAAAGAGAGTAGATCTTAAATGTAGGTCTTACCACAAAAAAGAAATGGTGATAAGATGGAGATGTTAGCTAAGCTATGGTGGCCATCATTTTGAAATATAAAACTGTACCAAATAACTCTGCCAGCATTGCTCAGTGGTTTAGCAACAACCTGTGAACCAGGAGGTCACTGTTCAGTTCCTGGTCAGGGCACAGGCCCGAGTTGAGGGCTTGATCCCCAGTAGGGGCATGCAGGAGGCAGTGATCAATAATTCTCTCATCATTGATGTTTCTGTTTTTCTCCCTCTCCCTTCCTGTTTGAAATCAATAAGAAATACATTTTAAAAAAAAATGCATCAAACACACAGTACACCTTAAACGTACACAATATCAGTTAATTATATCTCAATAAAGCAGGAAAAATAACATTTTATATTACATCAACCACCATTCTTTTTTTTTTTTTTTTAATATATTTTATTGATTTTGTACAGAGAGGGAGGGAGAGAGATACAGAGTTAGAAACATCGATGAGAGAGAGTCATCGATCAGCTGCCTCTTGCACACCCCCTACTGGGAATATGCCCGCAACCAAGGTACATGCCCTTGACCAGAATTGAACCTGGGACCCTTCAGTCCCCAAGCTGACGCTCTATCCATTGAGCCAAACCGGTTTCGGCTCAACCACCATTCTTTGCCATTGGCAGCCTCAATGAATTTCTAGAATGATAAGTTCTTCACTTTTGCCTGGAACATTCTAGTATTCTTTTTCTTTTTCAAGTTTTAAATGCTTATAACACTAAGAAGCTCATAGAAAATTCAAAGAATTTATAAAGTATAAGGACAGTCAAGATATTTTTTTGTTAATGGCCTTTTAGACCTCTCTCTATGAATAATTTCCCATAGAGAAAATGTATTCTGTATAGGTTGGTGTACAATTTTACATAAATGGAGTCATGCTGTATATACTGTATTTCACAGTCTTCTATTTTTTCAGTCACCAGAACCTTGGGAAATTTTTTTTTAAACTGTAAATATAATTTATAACCACAAAAGCTTTCATGTATTCTGGATCTGCTAAGTCATAAGTATGTAAATTCTTCACAGTTATAAGCAAAGTCCTATTCAGTCTATAGCAATGAATCTGAAAATCATGATGACACCAGTGTGGAGCCTCAGAGGGTATTATGTTAACACTACATGAACCTCTGAGAATATACCCGAGTCCCTGGTAGGATTTTCAAGTAATGGCCTGTAGCATTGAAGTCATAATTTAATTATAGTTATTTTGGTTAAATCCTCTATACTGATTAACTTTGCTTTATTGCCTCTTATGTAACATTCCCTCTTGAATTTGCTTGTTTTTAGATGTATTATAGGGAAGGGGGGGAAATGCAGAATTAATCTGGTCAACAAAAAATGTTTGCTTAAAGGATCTTTCTCAGTGAGGAGCAGAGAAGTCAATTGCTGAATTGCAATCAGGGAAACCAGGCTCGCCGCCTGGTATTAGCATGCACCAGAGTGCTCTCCAGCTGATTATGGAGTCCTTCACTTTACGGTTTTGCTGAAGTGGGTGCTCGTAACAACAGTGCCTGTAACAACATTGTGAAGGGCAGGGTGTGTGGCATGTTCTGAGAATACTAATTCTACAAGGCGTTTCAAAGTACAGGTATTTTTCGAAATTATATTGGAGCTTTGAGTGAAGGGCCTTACATATCTTATGCAATGATGTTGACAGTGTGACTGTTATTTCTAAGGGAAGAAAGCTTGATCAAAGTTTGGTAGCTTTGTTGTGTCTGATTTTTCGATGAGTGGTTGCGGTCTTCATAGATTTGAAAAGTATGGTTTATGTCTGGGTTTTCCAGGGTACCATAGCTGCATCAAAAGAATTTCTTAATTTTTAAAAATTTTACAGCTCCTTTTGTTAGCCATAAAAAAATATCTCTCTCTTACACACACACACACACACACACACACACACACACACACACACACCATTTTCACTCATGCATGGAGATTCTTGGCCAATTCTCACCCTCATTAAAAATGAATGCTATTTTCTGTATATTATCACCAATAAAGATTTGGGGAATGATTCTATCCTTTGTATTAAGACAATGATTAGTATTTTTTACAATTTCTAAATACCAAACTGCTGTGCTCAGGAGGTGGTGCTGAGACCCCAGTTGGGTGTTGGGGAGCCCATTCTCTTCTTGCTACCCACCACTGCTCTTACCACTCCTGCTCCTGGTGGAGAGCTGCTGGTGCATGGAGACTTTATACTTTTTGTCAGGGTATTCTTTCTTAATTTGAGTGCTTGTGTTCTTACTAATCTCTTGGGGTTTCAGAAACGGAGAATTTTTCATAGATGCTGGGACTGGCTGTTGGGACTGGCTATAATGAACAAAAATGGACTCAGTAAATGAAATCAACTTGACACAAGTGTCACCTTGTTCCATGGGTGTGCACTTTTGTCATCCAGAAGGCAAGGGGCTTCTTGCAGTACAAAGACTTGGGTTTGCACTAGCACAAAGGGTTACTTCTTTTCCCGGGGAACTTGGCGAACATGGTTTCATTCCCTGTGTTGTGGCTGTCATAGAGTAAGCTCTTTGTTTTTGTGCTGGGTTCAGGGGTCAGGCTCCTTCTGAAGCAGAGCTGAATTACTTGAGGACTGCAAAGTCCCTGGAGATGTACGGCGTTGACCTCCATCCCGTCTATGTGAGTAACATTTAATTAACACAAAATATTTAAATCTGATGACATTTTTCTTAAAGTGCCACTGAAACTCCCAAAGGAAAGCTTCAATCCTGTTGTGTAGAAAGCAGATGATGCTTTTTCATCTGTGTTTTTCAAACACAGATGATCTCTTGTGTGGATTAAATCCTAATGAGTTTTGCATAGAAGTCTGTGATTATATTTCCATGTGTAGAAAACAATTAACTGGGCTTGAAAACACAATCTGGAAAACAGTTCCAAGGGGCTTAGCTAAACGTCAAAACAATTTAAAATTGGTCTGTAGTTGATTGTATTAGGCAGAAAACAGGAGGGTTTTCCAAAAAATAGGTTTAACGGCTGAAAAACCTTAATAAAAGTACTTAAAGTAGGCATTAGACAACAGTACAGCTACAACTATTTGTGGTTCTTTTTGCATCTGTGGGTTCTGTCAATATTATAGTTACTGCCTATTGTAGTTTTTTAAAGATGTATTTTTATTGATTTCAGAGAAGAAGGAAGAGGGAGAGAGAGAGAAAGAAACATCAGTGATGAGAGAGAATTATTGCTTGGTTGCCTCTTGCATATCCCCCACTGGGTATTGAGCTCACAACCCGGGCATGTGCCCTGATCAGGAATCAAACAGTGATCTAGTTCATAGGTTGATGCTCTACCACTGAGCCACGCTGGTCAGGCATCTATTATAGTTTTTGCCACTGGATTATTAGAAATACATTTGCAGATTTTCTTTAGTAACTGATGAAAACTTGTTGAATATAGCCACTGAGCAATTATACTGAATCTGTGGTGAATGTTCTGGATCTGATCTTAACCTTTGAACCACTTCTCTAAGGTTATCAATTGGTTATTCTAGGCCAGTGAGATTGAAATGTGATTGCCTTTCATTTTATGAGTTTAGTTAGAAGTAGTCAAATTTGATTATTTGAGAAAATGAGCCATGTACCTTTATAGGAAATGAATTGCTAAAGATTGTAAAAGGCAGATCCAATTTGTCAGTTGGATTAGGGAACTCAATTTAAAAAATATATATATATATATTTTATTGATTTTGTACAGAGAGGAAGGGAGAGAGGTAGAGAGTTAGAAACATCAATGAGAGAGAGTCATCGATCAGCTGCCTCTTGCACATCCCCCACTGGGGATATGTCCGCAACCAAGGTACATGCCCTTGACCGGAATCAAACCCGGGACCTTTCAGTCCCCAAGCCGACGCTCTATCCATTGAGCCAAACCGGTTTCGGCAGGGAACTCAATTTTTAAGGAACCCTGATAAAATTTACTGTGATGTAATAACTTAGTCATGCATTTATTTTGTAATGTGTCTTTTGATTTTCAGAGTTTGTAAAGAGTTAGATGTGTCCCTGAGTATATATACCATTACTATGGTAATAAAGGTTACATATGGGGGGGAAGTAGTAGTTCCCTGATATATTAAATTTCAATCTCATTAGATAATTAAATGCTCTATACAATTGTCCTTCATGAACGCTTCTAAAATTTATTGGGCTGATTATCTTTTCCCCTTCCAGCTACACTAATCTTGTTAGGTTTTCAGTTTTAAAAATGTATTTCATAGGAAAGGTATAAAAAGAGAGTCTTTTGCAAAATACTTATGTGTTTTTGTAATGCTTATCCTAAGTCACAATGTTTGTGGGCAGTAGGAATTTATGGTCAATAAGGTGGATTCTTTAGACTCTTCCATACATTCCTTTAAGATGGAATTTTTAAAACTGAAAGTGGGCAACAGTTGGTATTCTTTCAAAACTTATTAGTTGACTAATGTTCCTTGGACTATGACTTTGCAATCTGTTATTTGACCTCAGAGTAGAAATAAGATGAACATAAACAGACAGTTCTGTGTATGTTTTTGGCACCCACTCTGCAACTTTTTCATTTCAGAATCCCATTTTCTTCATTGAAATTTGTCATCGCCTGGAAATTAAGGGTCTTTAGTCTTTATAGAAGAGACTGTATTTTAAAATTTTGAGCAGTCTTAAAGTCACAGGTGTTGGTGGGAAGGAGCGTGATAGTGACCTCAAAATCCAGCAGTATGCCTGCAGGTCGCTCCCTGAACTTTCTGGAGAGGGTGGTGGGGAACAAGGTCTCATGACTGTTCACATCAGAAAGTAAATCAGTGAACCCCAGGTAAGGGACCATTGGTAGAAGCCAGTGGTTCTTAGTCCTTGGCTGCACAGGAGGATCTCCTGGAGCATTTTTGTGTTTTTGATACCTGGGCCCCTTCATTGCAGATTCTGATTTAACTGGTTTAGGTAATAACCCAGACATCAGCATTTCAAGCTGCATGGGTGATTCTAGTTAGTGTTCAGGGTTAAACAATGGGGTGCGTCAATCAGAAGTCTGATTAGTAGTCCAGGTTCTTTTAATGAACTGAGGTTGCAAGTCTGAATGCACTAGAAAAAATGTCTTTAAAACTTTGAAAACAATGAGCAGCAAGTTAGCTCCATCATAGCTTAGCTAGCTTTCTAAGCTGATGACTTTCAAAAACTGACAAATTATGTTTGAATGGCCAATTACAGTTTGATAGTGTGCGTTTAAATGAATACATGTATAGTTATAGGCATATGTTTGTTTTTGCAGGGAGAAAACAAATCTGAGTATTTCTTAGGATTAACTCCAGTTGGTGTTGTTGTTTACAAGAATAAAAAGCAAGTGGGGAAGTATTTCTGGTAAGTATCAACTATTTGGGAGTTGGTATTCAAGTTATACACTGTATGTTTTGGGTTTACGGAACTTGGGTGACAATGAAAGGGTTGGGAAAAGAAAACAGGTACATTTCTAGTAGTTGACAAAAATGAGTGAAATTGGCTATAAAGCTCCTCCCAGTGCATATCAGTATAATATTTTTTTCTGTAAATTTCAGAGAAATTTTCTCTGTGATTCTAGACTCTTGTCTGTGGGAGCTGTGTGTAATAGGATTTCCTATGAGTTCCAGTGTGCATTGCTGGGCTGGGTTCCCAGGATTACTCTGAGTTCTAACTAGGTGGGAAGGTGTGATAGGGACCAAGGATTCTCTGGCTCTGGGAAGGGAAAGGAAATTGACTGGGTCTGGGAAGGCAGCACTATTGGGGCTGGGGAATCCAAGCTTGCGTGCATGTACCGGAGAAGCAGAGAATGAGAATGGAGTTTGGTTTAGGGAGGTGTATAGAGCGGAAGAGAACTCTACAATGATCGTAGTAGTATATGAGGGAAACAGTATGAACCAATCTTTTCCCCACTGAACTTCTGAAAGGTTAATTCTGCAAAATAGCACCACCACCACCGTCTTTTTCTTTTTCTTTTTCTTTTCAGGCCTCGAATTACAAAGGTTCACTTCAAGGAGACGCAATTTGAACTCCGAGTACTGGGAAAAGATGTAAGTTTGTGTTTGGCACCTAGCTTAGCTGAGAAGGTGGATTTCGTCTCCTCATTGATAACTGCAAAGACATTGTGAAGTACGACTGCTGTGTTTTCTTCAGCAGCAAACACATGGAACTTAGTTACTGGACTTAAGTGCACAGCTGCTCGAGGAGGGGCAGGGTAGAAGCGAATGAGTTGGTAAAGGAGAAATGTCACTGTAGTTTTAGCAAAGGGAAACGAACCTTTCTAGAGCAGGAAAGAGAGTAGCAGGCGATTGTCTTTATTAGTGTAATTTGCACTTCGGTGCTGTCTGCGAAGGATTCATGTAATCAGAAGGGTGCAGCCTGAATACAGGCTAAAAAGTGTCCTAATTTTGTCCAAGAGTAAATTAAACCATCTGTAGGGAGTCACACTTAGTTGGGTGTGGCAGATAAATCAGATGGGAAATTCTGGATGCGTTCAAAGGAGAATGTAAGGCGAGGGTGCAAAAGTGCTGGTCCTCCCCCTGCAGCATGGCTGTGTCCTAAGGATTGTGTAGGTAAGGGGCACAGTATCTGTCAGAACCTGGGGGTGCCTTCATTTTTGGACAGGTAGCTTTTAGAAAACTGGGCAAAAGAAGGCAAGGATATTAAAACTTGCTTTTAATCCACCTGTGAAAATAATGCTCCCTGAAGTGCTAGTACTGCTATGGGATAAATGAGTGAGAATAGAACCCACCCTTCTCTCTCTTCAATACTAACTTTATGCAGAGCCAACTTCAAAGTGAATGGCATGGAATTGTTGAGATATTTGTTGTAAAAAAGGAGGTTAATAAAATCTGTGCTTATGCATTTGCAACTTGAGACACAGGAAAAGTGTGGCTGTAAATACAGCTAGAACGTGATACCTCACAGGTAGCAGGTGCTCAGTAAATATCCATTGAATAATCAATGAGCTGATCTACTGAGATTAAGTGCCACCAGATTAAAAAACCTGATATTACTAATCAGTTCCTTTCTTAGAAAAATATTGTACATTGATCCTTCCTTTCACTGTGTGACATGCTGCCATTATTGATGAAATTAAAATTGGATTTTGAAATGAATTTCAACTTGTAATGAGGGGTAAATTCCAGATTTTTAAAGAAATAATAGTCCAGCCCTAGCCAGTTTGGCTCAGTGGATAAAGCATTGGCCAACAATTGGAAGGTCCCAGGTTCGATTCTGGCCAAGGCCACATATCTCAGTTGCAGGCTTCCAGCCCAGTCAGGGCATGTGTGGGAGGCAACCAGTCTATGAGTTTCTCTCACATCGATGTTTCTCTCTCTGTCTCTCCCTCCCCCTTCTTCTCTCTCTAAAAATCAATGGGAAAATATCATTGGGTCAGGAAAAGGAAGGGAGGGAGGAAGTGAGATGGAGGGAGGCGAAAGAAAAATCCAAAAACTTCAGAGTAGTTCTTTTAACAGTCTAGTTTGAAGGAAATCCAGTTTTCAACTCCCGATTAGACATATCAATCTTAAATGTGCTAATATATAAGATTGAATTGAAATCATCCAAAAAATAGAATAAGTAATTAATTTAGATAGTAGAGTTATCTACTTTTCTATCTTGCCACTGGTTTCACTTGACAATGCAAGGTGTACCATCTGTTCAATGCATTGAAAATAATGTTTCAAGTTTTTAATAGGAAAGTGATGATAAAATGATGACTTTACATGGAAGCATTACTATTATTCAAAGTCATTTTTTCTTTATATCTAAGTTATTTTTGTGAGTGAGGTCATTTGGTGAAATACTTTTATGCTATTACTACTGGCCCAGTGCATGGGTTTGTGCACATTGAAAAGGAAATTAATTAGAATAAATATTTTAATATCACTAATTGCCCTTTCTCTATAATAGAAGTGTCAGAGATGAAAGAAAAGTAGTAAAATGTATATGAAAATAATAAATAAATTGATTAATAAACAATAATAACATGCTATAACAACAACAAAGACATGATATAAAAACATTGATAAAAACAATGACTGATAAATTGATTAAACTTATTCTAATATCTCCCTGTATACGACATTAAGAGTAAAAGCACTTTCAGCGTGCTTGACTAATTTCCCTTGTGATGAAGTATTTACAACTTTAATAACATACACTTTTTGAAACTGAGAAAAAGAAAAAGCGATCTATAACTGATCATGTCCCAAAATGGATTTAGGTAGGAATATTCCTACTCTGTTTAGAGTTCATCCTTGTGATTTATTAATATTCATCACAAATGCTGGCATCACGGGAAACTGTCTTTGAATTAATTTAAATGGAGGCCAGTGTCAGATGGGGACAAATCAATTCTTGGAATCAGACCAACCTCTCCTTCCACAGATTCTGTTAATACTGCAGAGCTTTATATGTATCACACATGTGCAAGTCAACATTTACTTTTAAATTGCCAGTGTGTGTCATATGTACAGGCCGGTCAGTCAGACAGATGGACATACGGTTAATCACTTAGCCTTTTATATATATATAGACTAGAGGCTCAGTGCATGAAATTCATGCATGGGGGCTGAGGGGTCCCTCAGCCTAGCCTGTACCCTCTCCAATCTGGGACCCCTTGGGGGATGTCTGACTGCCTAAACTGGCAGTCAGACATCCCTTTCACAATCTGGACTACTGGCTCCTAACTGCACACCTGCCTGCCTACCTGATCGCCCTTAATTGCCTCTGCCTTGGCTCCTGGCCTAAGCCACAGTCTGGCCTCCCTCTGTGGGAGGTGACCTGGCGGATCAAGTGAAGGCACCACTCCCATTACTCTGCTGCTGCTGCCACTGCCAACCTGAGCCTGGGCCCTTTGCAGCCTCTGCAGCTTTGTCTGGAAGGTCATCCAGAAGACTCTGCCCTAATTAGCATATTACCCTTTTATTGTATAGATAGATTACAGAGCCTTAAAATTCTTCTACTGCCATGGGATAACTAGCTGGTAAAGTCACAGTTAACTTAAACATTCCACTTCTTAGATTTCTTCATAATTAGCAGAGGATAACAACAAAGTTGATATGTTATTTTTCTACTGGCTGTCTCCATGGAATGGCCTGTGGGTGTTTTTTTTTTTTTAATATTTTTATTAATTTTTAGAGAGAGGAAGGGAAAGTTATACAGAGAGAGAATCATCAATGAGTGAGGAACATCATGGATTGGCTGCTTCCTGCACACCCCCTACTGGGGATTGAGCCCGCACCCTGGGCATGTGCCCTAACCAGAAATCGAACCCATGACCTCCTGGTTTCTAGGTTGATGCCCCACTGCTGAGCCACACTAGCTGGACTGACCTGGTTTTTTACATACTCAGTGCCTGTCCCTTCTACAGCTTCGAGAAGAAACGGGTGTGGCCTGAGACCCTGCTGCACGCTCCTGGGTTGTGAAGCCTGGTGTCAGTGATCTTTAGGACGGTGGCAAAGCAGGTCGCATAACTCAGGCCCGAATCAAAGGAAACTGAAAAAACTTAAACAGCACAGTAATTTAACCCAAGCAGTTCGTTTCCTGAGCATTCTTGCTTTGTGGAGCCTTCTTTCTCCACCAGGGCTCCTCTCCCTGTGAGGCAGTGATTTGCATAATGGTAGAATTAAGTTGATTATTATGGAGGCCTCGCTGTAATCATGGATTAAATAGAAAAGCCCCCTGAAACCCATCACCTGAAACAGTAATCATAGTCAGCTTGAAAAATGGCTGAAATGCTTATTCTGCTGGTTTTCTGGTTGGCTGGTTCCGCCAGAGACTAAACTCAGCATGTTCAGTTCTGTTAGGGCCAAATTCATAGATCCAGTTCCCAAAAGGCAGCAATGCCCTTCGGATAGAAGATGTTCCTCCTAGTGTCACCCTGTGCCCGTGACAGTCTCGTTCCACTTTTGTTGTTGTTGTTGGTCCTTACTCTCACCGAGGATATTTTCTCCATTGATTTTCAGAGAGAGTGGAAGGGAGGGGGAGAGACAGAGAAAGAAACATTGATGTGAAAGAGTCACATTGGTTGGTTGCCTCCCACACATGTCCAAACCAGGGCCAGGGATGGAGCCTGATCCAAGGTACGTGCCCTTGACCTGAATTGAACAGAGGCAGAGAAGCCCGCTGATCAAGGGGAGATGATGAGAGGAAAGTCAACACAAGGATGGAGAGAAGAGTGCAGATTTGGGAGGCCTTTGGGAGGAAAAGTTGTTTCTGATTAGTAGCAGATTGAATGCTTTTGTGAAAAATACTTTTGGATCATCAACAGGGAGAAAGTGCAGTCCCCAGCAGCAGGCCCAGAAGTTGGCTTGTACTACACATATTTGTTGAATAAATGAAAAAAAAGAAAAAAGAAATGCTACTCAGGTTACTTTTATGTATAATGCATCATGAAACTAACCTCAGCTAAACTTACCCAGTGTGACAGGATGTAGAACCAAAAGGTTCCTGGCAGCTCTGGCCGGGAGTAATTAGACCCGCTTGGCCGAGCTCTCGGCCTCTGAGAGGAGCGAGGGGAAGTGAGGATGGCCAGGAGCTGTCACTGCGCGTCAACAAGTCCAAGACGCCTCACTTATGTAAGCTAGAGTTCCTTCCACATTTTAAGTGAAACTATAGATTTTTTTAAAGGTTTTTTTATTTGAAAACAATTCCAAATTTACAAAAATCTGCAAAATATTACAAAAACATGGCCACCTGTTGTTACATTCACTTATTGCTAGCATTTTATTTTACTTTTTTTTGTGTGTGATCTACACACACACACACACACACACACACACACACACACACACACAGACTTTTTCTGAATGATTTGAGAATAAGTTTCAGCCTTAGCCGGTTTGGCTCAGTGGATAGAGCATCAGCCTTCAGAGTGCAGGGCCCTGGGTTTGATGCCAGTCAGGGCACATGCCCGGGTTGCCTGGGTTGTGGGCTCGATTCCCCGTACGGGGTGTGCAGGAGGTAGCCGATCAATTATTCTCACTCGTCATTGGTGTTTCTTTCTCTCTCTTCCTCTCTGAAATCAAACAAGAATAAGTTTCAC